ATAATCTTAAGATCCAATTTGCGCCCCTCAAATAATCTTTTTTTGTTTGCGCCTCTCTCAGTTCGAGATAAATTTTGAATCCCCAATGAAAGATATAAATTTCGCCCCCTAAGTTTAAGATTAATTTGGCGATCTTCTGTTTAAGATTAATTTTGCGCCTTTCAATAAAAGTAGTATTTTGCGCCCTCAATTCCAAATCAATTTCGCGGATAAAATAAAAGTTCAAAATTAGGCCCCCCCCCCCCCCCGAGTTCGAAATCGATTTGGTGCCTCCTTAATTAAACATCAATTTTGCAGCCCCTAGGTTTCAGATCAATCAAGGGGCGCAAATTTGATCTGAAAATTATGGGGCGCATAACAGATCTGAAACTTGGGGGGCACAATATTTATCTGAAACTTGGTGGCTGCAATATTAATCTGAAACTAAGGGGCTGCAAAATTGATATTAAACTGAGGGGCCGGGGCACAAAAGTAATTTAGAACTGAAGGGATGGGTGCACACACAAAAAAGGGGCGCAAGATTGATCTTTTATTAAGAGCGAGAAACCTTGACAGACCGTTAGGCTCTTGTCATAAGACTTTGATTGATGAAATGTAATATTTCAACATTCGAATTCTACTTGTCCTTGGATATTGGTTCATGGCGCACCTTTTGACGGCCTGGGCCGGGGCAGGCTGCCTGTTTCTGGGCTGCCCTCATCCTCCTTGACCTTTAGGGACCAGTGGTTGCCCGGCCCAGGCCGTCAGGCTCTGGTCATGAGACTTTGATTGATGAATAAAATATTCCAAAAATTGAATATTACTTGTCCTTGGATATTGATTCATGGTGCACCTTTTGACGGCCTGGGCCGGGGCAAGCTGACTGTTTCTGGGTTGTCCACATCCTCCTTGACCTTGAGGGACCAGTGGCTGCCCGGCCCAGGCCGTCAGGCTCTGGTCATGAGACTTTGATTGATGAATAAAATATTCCAAAAATTGAATATTACTTGGCCTTGGATATTGGTTCATGGCGCACCTTTTGACGGCCTGGGCCGGGGCAAGCTGACTGTTTCTGGGTTGCCCACATCCTCTTTGACCTTGAGAGACCAGTGGCTGCCCGGCCCAGGCCGTCAGGCTCTGGTCATGAGACTTTGATTGATGAATAAAATATTCCAAAAATTGAATATTACTTTGCCTTGGATTTTGGTTCATGGCGCCCTCTTTGACGGCCTGGGCCGGAGCAAGCTGACTGTTTCTGGGTTGCCCACATCCTTCTTGACCTTGAGGGACCAGTGGCTGCCCGGCCCAAGCCGTCAGGCTTTTGTCATGAGACTTTGATTGATGAAATAAAATATTCAAAAAAAATTGAATATTACTTGTCCTTGGATATTGGTTCATGGCGCACCTTTTGACGGCCTGGGCCGGGGCAAGCTGACTGTTTCTGCGTTGCCCACATCGTCCTTGACCTTGAGGGACCAGTGGCTGCCCGGCCCAGGCCGTCAGGCTCTGGTCATGAGACTTTGATTGATGAATAAAATATTCCAAAAATTGAATATTACTTGGCCTTGGATATTGGTTCATGGCGCCCCTTTTGACGGCCTGGGCCGAGGCAAGCTGACTGTTTCTGGGTTGCCCACATCCTCCTTGACCTTGAGGGACCAGTGGCTGCCCGGCCCAGGCCGTCAGGCTCTTGTCATGAGACTTTGATTGATGAAATAAAATATTCCAAAAAAATTGAATATTAACTGTCCTTGGATATTGGTTCATGGCGCCCCTTTTGACGGCCTGGGCCGAGGCAAGCTGACTGTTTCTGGGTTGCCCACATCCTCCTTGACCTTGAGGGACCAGTGGCTGCCCGGCCCAGGCCGTCAGGCTCTGGTCATGAGACTTTGATTGATGAATAAAATATTCCAAAAATTGAATATTACTTGGCCTTGGATATTGGTTCATGGCGCCCCTTTTGACGGCCTGGGCCGGGGCAAGCTGACTGTTTCTGGGTTTCCCACATCCTCCTTGACCTTGAGGGACGAGTGGCTGCCCGGCCCAGGCCGTCAGGCTCTGGTCATGAGACTTTGATTGATGAATAAAATATTCCAAAAATTGAATATTACTTGTCCTTGGATATTGGTTCATGGCGCACCTTTTGACGGCCTGGGCCGGGGCAAGCTGACTGTTTCTGGGTTGCCCACATCCTCCTTGACCCTGAGGGACCAGTGGCTGCCCGGCCCAGGCCGTCAGGCTCTTGTCATGAGACTTTGATTGATGAAATAAAATATTCCAAAAATTGAATATTACTTGTCCTTGGATATTGATTCATGGTGCACCTTTTGACGGCCTGGGCCGGGGCAAGCTGACTGTTTCTGGGTTGTCCACATCCTCCTTGACCTTGAGGGACCAGTGGCTGCCCGGCCCAGGCCGTCAGGCTCTGGTCATGAGACTTTGATTGATGAATAAAATATTCCAAAAATTGAATATTACTTGGCCTTGGATATTGGTTCATGGCGCACCTTTTGACGGCCTGGGCCGGGGCAAGCTGACTGTTTCTGGGTTGCCCACATCCTCTTTGACCTTGAGAGACCAGTGGCTGCCCGGCCCAGGCCGGCAGGCTCTGGTCATGAGACTTTGATTGATGAATAAAATATTCCAAAAATTGAATATTACTTTGCCTTGGATTTTGGTTCATGGCGCCCTCTTTGACGGCCTGGGCCGGAGCAAGCTGACTGTTTCTGGGTTGCCCACATCCTTCTTGACCTTGAGGGACCAGTGGCTGCCCGGCCCAAGCCGTCAGGCTTTTGTCATGAGACTTTGATTGATGAAATAAAATATTCAAAAAAAATTGAATATTACTTGTCCTTGGATATTGGTTCATGGCGCACCTTTTGACGGCCTGGGCCGGGGCAAGCTGACTGTTTCTGGGTTGCCCACATCGTCCTTGACCTTGAGGGACCAGTGGCTGCCCGGCCCAGGCCGTCAGGCTCTGGTCATGAGACTTTGATTGATGAATAAAATATTCCAAAAATTGAATATTACTTGGCCTTGGATATTGGTTCATGGCGCCCCTTTTGACGGCCTGGGCCGAGGCAAGCTGACTGTTTCTGGGTTGCCCACATCCTCCTTGACCTTGAGGGACCAGTGGCTGCCCGGCCCAGGCCGTCAGGCTCTTGTCATGAGACTTTGATTGATGAAATAAAATATTCCAAAAAATTTGAATATTAACTGTCCTTGGATATTGGTTCATGGCGCACCTTTTGACGGCCTGGGCGGGGGCAAGCTGACTGTTTCTGGGTTGCCCACATCCTCCTTGACCTTGAGAGACCAGTGGCTGCCCGGCCCAGGCCGTCAGGCTCTGGTCATGAGACTTTGATTGATGAATAAAATATTCCAAAAATTGAATATTACTTTGCCTTGGATATTGGTTCATGGTGCCCTCTTTGACGGCCTGGGCCGGGGCAAGCTGACTGTTTCTGGGTTGCCCACATCCTCCTTGACCTTGAGGGACCAGTGGCTGCCCGGCCCAGGCCGTCAGGCTCTGGTCATGAGACTTTGATTGATGAATAAAATATTCCAAAAATTGAATATTACTTGGCCTTGGATATTGGTTCATGGCGCCCCTTTTGACGGCCTGGGCCGGGGCAAGCTGACTGTTTCTGGGTTTCCCACATCCTCCTTGACCTTGAGGGACGAGTGGCTGCCCGGCCCAGGCCGTCAGGCTCTGGTCATGAGACTTTGATTGATGAATAAAATATTCCAAAAATTGAATATTACTTGTCCTTGGATATTGGTTCATGGCGCACCTTTTGACGGCCTGGGCCGGGGCAAGCTTACTGTTTCTGGGTTGCCCACATCCTCCTTGACCCTGAGGGACCAGTGGCTGCCCGGCCCAGGCCGTCAGGCTCTTGTCATGAGACTTTGATTGATGAAATAAAATATTCCAAAAATTGAATATTACTTGTCCTTGGATATTGGTTCATGGTGCACCTTTTGACGGCCTGGGCCGGGGCAAGCTGACTGTTTCTGGGTTGCCCACATCCTCCTTGACCTTGAGGGACGAGTGGCTGCCCGGCCCAGGCCGTCAGGCTCTTGTCATGAGACTTTGATTGATGAAATAAAATATTCCAAAAATTGAATATTACTTGTCCTTGGATATTGGTTCATGGCGCACCTTTTGACGGCCTGGGCCGGGGCAAGCTGACTGTTTCTGGGTTGTCCACATCCTCCTTGACCCTGAGGGACCAGTGGCTGCCCGGCCCAGGCCGTCAGGCTCTTGTCATGAGACTTTGATTGATGAAATAAAATATTCCAAAAATTGAATATTACTTGTCCTTGGATATTGGTTCATGGTGCACCTTTTGACGGCCTGGGCCGGGGCAAGCTGACTGTTTCTGGGTTGCCCACATCCTCCTTGACCTTGAGGGACCAGTGGCTGCCCGGCCCAGGCCGTCAGGCTCTTGTCATGAGACTTTGATTGATGAAATAAAATATTCAAAAAAAATTGAATATTACTTGTCCTTGGATATTGGTTCATGGCGCACCTTTTGACGGCCTGGGCCGGGGCAAGCTGACTGTTTCTGGGTTGCCCACATCGTCCTTGACCTTGAGGGACCAGTGGTTGCCCGGCCCAGGCCGTCAGGCTCTTGCCATGAGTCTTTGATTGATGAAATATACCAAAAATTGAATATACTTGTCCTTGGACTCTGGTTCATATGGCGCACTTTTTGACGGCCAGCTGACTGATTCTGGGTTGCCCTTATCCCTCTTGACCTTATAGTAGGCCAATAACTCCTGTAATAAACGGCATTCTTATTTTGAATATCGAATAAATAACTAAATTCATGTTTTGAATATCCAATAAGGAAAAAGTAACTAACTTCACAATGAATGTCGAATATCGAATAAGTAACTAACTTCACATTGAATATCCAATATCGAATAAGTAACTAACTTCACATTTTGAATATCCAATAAGGAAAAAGTAACTAACTTCACGCCGGTCGCACGTACACGCATATGAAAACGCGCCGATACGCGCACATTGCGAGCGCTCACGATCACCCAAATTGGCAAAATGGCGGAATTTGATCTGACTGCGAAGATTGGCCAATATTTGGATAGACATCTTGTTTTTCCATTGTTGGAGTTTTTATCGGTTCAAGAAGTGAGTATCGTGTTCTTAAGTGGTGTCTGAAACTTAGACAGATATTATTAACATGAAAATGAAGATAAATTTCGTGCCATCTGGTTCCAAATCCGCGCCCCATGTGGGCTTAAAACAGTCCGACATGTTTATTTTTTTGTAGGGTTAACTGGAAATCAAGTCCCATTCATTATCTGACAAAGATCCATCCATTTTTTTCTATCAGATCTTTTCCTAGTGTAATACATGTAGTCTGATTGCTTTAAAACTTAAACATTTGTTGACCAGTTATTACATTTATGTCTGTCGAAAATATGGAGAAACCACCGAGTCTCTGACTGACCGCACTTTTCGATTTCGTTTTTTGGGGAGACTCCCATTCGACTTTCACAGATGAGGGACTGTCTCTTCCATGTTGGAGACTTGGCTTAACAAAATAGAAAGAACAAAAGAAACAACATCAACAACAAGACAGTTTTCCCATGTGAACAGTAGGGGTGCTGGTCCGAGAATAAAGATCGTCTGCATATTAAAACGAGGATCGTCTTTGTAAACGCGGACCGCTGTGTCCTCGGAAATGAGGATCGTCCACATTTTAGCAGATGATTCATATTTTTTTTATTGGTGCGTTGGTAATGCGGAAAACGGATTCTATGATTATTTTCTTGTTATTCCAAGGAGCATCATTTCGGAGTCCTTTTTTCGCATCGCCAACGCGCGGACTGGAAATAAGAATTGTACGCGGAAAATTGATCCTTGTCTATGCGGACGATCTTTATTCTCGGACCAGCGCCCCTAATGCTAAGTTAAGCGCATACGTAATACTAGCCTTAAGGGCTCCCACGAAATGTGAGAGCCAATAATAAGACAATAGTAAATTTTTAAGGATGCTCAAAAAATCATACAAAATAAAATGTTTGGCTTGAATATCATAACTTTGGTATCGGCTTAATCAAAAATTGCATGCTTTCTCCTCGCACTAATATCTTGTAATATTGAGGGAATGGCAGCTAGCGAAAGCCAATCAGAAGGGCCCTTGAAGGGTTAAAAAGCGCCAGTGTTTGAAAACGAGGCAGAGCCGCTGAGAACGGGCGAACGTAAAGCGCATGCGCAGGATGGCAGCTAAACTTAATTATGGGCATGCGCAGAGCCAGAGGACTGAATTGGAAAAGTGTGAGTTTTTTTAATTAAAAATCTTGAGGCTAAGACCGTCTGCAAAGGTATTTAACTTTTTGGGGGGAATTCATACTGTTGTGTGGTTATAATTTAAATTTATGATACAAGTTTTTAATATAATGTCGTCTTGTTGCGACAAGAGAGAGAGAGAGTTTTACAGAGGTTAATTGCTCACTGTCAATGCTAAACACTATTTTATTTCTCTGCTTTGTTTGTGCACAGATATACGATGAGAAGGACATGCTGCAAGGCAAGCTGGATCTCCTCAGCAACACAAACATGGTAAGATGATGTCATGAGCCTGCCTGGCATAAGTGTTTAGCAGGGGGATTCCCTTAAATTCTATTTTTTTCCTGTCAGGAATATAAATGTGACATAGGGTGCGTTTCACAAAGACTAAGATCAACTTAAGTTGGACTTAAACTCACTATGAACATTACGGACAAAGAAAGCGGACAAAATATACAGTTCCTCAGGTATACAAAGGAACATCCCTTCACTGCTATTATGTAAAAAGTGAATATGCATGTGACACCTGTTCTACACATTTTTACATAATAGCAGTGAAGGGGGGTTCCTTTGTCTACCTGAGGAACTGTATATTTTGTCCGCTTTTTTAGTCAGTCATATTCATAGTGACTCTGACAGGTAATTTATGCCCTTAAAAATTCTTGAACCAGATGTGAAATTATTATCTATAGATCTAGATAATGTTTTTCCCTCCAATAGTAAAGTATGAAAAATGTGAATTTTGTAGATTTGCGACGTCCCTTTAAAGATCAATGGTGAGAGCAAACAGTGGCATGAATAGTTTAAGCCAGGGGATTGCTCCTTGCTGTATTTTGTACAAGTTCAAATGTAAGGTTTCATTCAAGCCTAGGAACAAAATCATTGGAATTGTTTGATCAAGGGCTCACTCAAAATAAGCAGTTACCCGGATGCCATTAACAACTTACCCAGTTTGCTTTCTGTAATTAGCGTACTGTATATCGAATGAGAGAATTCCATAGTCAACCATTTAAAATTTCGATTGTCAAATCTTGAAAGTCCTGTCTTTGTTGCTTGTGTTGCGATTAACAAAAATCCCACTGTTGTTATTTCATGTTATTATGATATGCAGTTCAATGTAAATGACCTTCAAATTTTTAATTTTTCAAAGAAACCTGCAAGTAATCATCTACATGTAAGTTGCCCCACTGTCTAACCAAATGATAAACAGTTTCATTCTCTACAACTCCTCTCTATTGTTTTATTCCCTATTGTAGGTTGATTTTGCCATGGACGTGTACAAAACCCTCAATGAAGATCAAGAGGTTCCACAAAGTAAGTGTTTTCTTTCTACTTCCGGGGTCAAGCGGCGTAAAGCAGTTACCCAGAGACAAGGCCTTTATCTCGAATCGTGACAAGTTGATAAACGCGACAACCCGCAACTCACATTCTTATAGTGGGGTTCGATATGTATGTATAGAAATGCTGTTTCTGAGTGGCAAAAGATGATAAATGCACCCATAACTATTAGCAGAAATAACAGCTCTTTTTCATGGAAGCACAGGTAAAGAAAATTTTGTTGCAGAATCAAGTCATCGAATTGATTGAAGCATGTTGGTGTTGCTTCATTCCTACCCACTTTGTACATTTCTATATTGAAGTCCAACTGCACTACTTATATCTACTTGCTCCCTCTATTATAAACATAGCAAACAATGACTAATCAGTGACCGTCAGTACCCCATGATCCCCTTTTTCTTTTATTAATTGAGAGCTGATTTGATGAGATAACGACTTGTCAGTGACCATGCAGGGATGTCTAATCCCTCCCGGCCAAACTAGTACAGACAGGCTTTAATTTCATGATATTTACTTTGATGACTCTTTACCATTTGCTTTTTATCTGTCATGATCGTGCAGCTTTGAAAGAGAAGCGTGCCGATGTGGTGAACCAGCTGAAGCGACTCCAGCAGGACACCGAGCCCATCATCAAGATCTTTGAGAATGCGGATGTACGAGAACACATCCAGTCCGCCAGAGACAGCAGGCAACTCTTTGAATACCTCGAGAAGAACCATGGGGTAAGTCTTTGATAAGGAGGTACAGTCAAACTTGCTTTAATGACCAACTGTCTACAAAAACCCCAATTTTTGTTTGTCTTGAAAATGGTTTCTCATTGAAACATGTAAGAAAGGAACCTGTCCACAAAGACCACTTTTTATGTTTTCCTTGAGCTGTCGCCATAGACATGTTTGACTGTACAACATGTAAACAGACAGACAGAGACAGCAAGAAGGAATGGGTAGGCAGACATACAGGTAGAGAGAGAGAGAGAGAGAGAGAGACAAACAGACAGGAAGGGGGAGGGGCAGGATAACAGGGGGGGGGGTATAGGGCGTGTGAGTGGGGAACAACTGGTGTCTTTCAACTTTAAACAAACTTAAAGGGCAATCCAACCCTTGAAATAAGTTTATTTGAATGAAAGCAGAAAAATCAGAGAAATATTATTCAGGTAATTGAGACTTTTTTCACTTCTGCATTAAAAAACAACTTTTTAAATCACTTTCTTCTATATTTCATCTTTTCCAGTTTAAACATGACAATTTGAGCCTTCTGTACGACTATGCTAAGTTCCAGTACGATTGTGGCAACTATTCAGGAGCCTCGGAATACCTCTACTTCCACAGGACACTGGTAAGAAACCATACACTTAAATTCTTGCTGTTTTTCTGTAAAAATCGGGCATCCTTTCACAAAAGCGTTGCAGGTACAAGTTCACTGTCTTCCATTGAAAAGCATGTATTAAAATGAACACAGGCCTGGTGAACTTCCACTTTTGATGGTTTCATGAAGCAATGCTCATGTACCCTAGGTTTTCAATGGTTTTTAAAGCTGATGTAAGAACATTATGCTCTCCTAGTTTTGGTATTTGAGAAGTTTTCAGTTTTTCAGTCCAAGATGACAAACATCTGCACCTCCTAAGACATTGCCATTTATTGCCAATAGACCGGCTCCCTAACATAGTCAAATTTATGGAAGTTTTTTTCCCGGGGTCCTAGTGACGAGTTATCCCATTATTAATGAATGAACTACGATACTCTGTATCCAGTCTACATACAATCCCTGTTGCTATGTCAGGCTAGCCTGGGGACAAGCTTTCAGTTTGGCAAGACTCAAGAACAACCTTTGACTAAGAAAAATGCATACAATTTGAATATCTTAAATTCAATTCAATTTATTCTGTTTCCAACAAATATTACAAATCGATCATAAACATCTACAACAATTTATTCAGTATACTCATATTTTGTTCATTTTTTTTTTTCAGGTCCCACCCTCCGATCCTAAGTCTACTAGTTCTCTATGGGGCAAGCTAGCCTCGGAAATTCTCATGCAGAACTGGGAAGGGGCACTAGAAGATCTCAACAAGCTACAAGAGGTCATCGACCCTGTAGATAAAATGGACGTGAGTATCGCATTGAGGCAGTCTTGAGTATGATTGTCTTGTTTGCAGCAATTATGATAAGTGGTGTCCGTCATTTTGTTCCTCAAAAGCACCATGTAGTAGCAGACCAGCCTGTAAGTCCCTTGACCATATTCTGGGAACAAAGGATTGAAAGTGATTTTGTGTTCCCTGATGGATACCGAACAAGTTTGACTTGGGCTGCCCCCTTGAAAATTTCAGGCATTTCCGGGAGGGGCCAATAAATGTCAAACAGGGGTCAAAATTCAAATATATTCCAATCGTGTCAATATACATATCAAATTACTTGTCTAGTCATGAGGATTGTGGCGTCTATGATTGTGCAATGTATTAACAAGTTTGTAGCCCGTTTCTTGATTTTGGTAACGTCCTGTTTATGAAACGGATAATATAAAACAAATGATGGTTTGGGATTCTTTGTTTCCAGTTAGTAGTCAGGTATATCCTGTAATAACTCTGCACTCCTCCCTTCTTTTCTAGTCGCACTTCATCACACCGTTGCAGTCCCTACAGCAGAGGACGTGGTTGATTCATTGGAGTCTCTTCGTATACTTCAACCATCCTGAAGGGAGGGATCTAATCATTGACAAGTTCCTCTACCAACCAGCGTAAGTGTCTCTTTTAAAGGGATCGTTTAACAATGTTAAATATGGGAACCACGGCCCTACGTGTTATCAGTGTCTGTGATATGGTGTTAAAGTGAAGCCCTAAAAATGATCAATTAGTGCCTCAAAAAAGTAAAAATCTTTGAGTGACCGGTTTTACCATACTCGTTTTCCCCAATAGACTGTAGTGTTATGAAAACCGTTTGGCAAACGCAAAATTTGATTTCGGTTTGCGATCATAAATATATTGATAATCAGACGATCGGCTTGTAAAAGTCGTGGGGTTCCTGACTGACCTAAAGGTTTATAATTATCATTGTAGCATGAGCTAAATCAAGAATTTTTTAAAAGGATCTAAGACAAAGTTACCGGATCCCTTTAATTGCAGGATTTAAAGCAGGACTGCACTACTTGTAGCTACTTGCACCCTCTATATAGCAAACAACGACTAAGCAGAACCTGTTGGTCCCCCATGGTCCCTTTTTTCTTATGTTAATTGAGACCTAAATTGATGAGATAACCACCTGTCAGTGACCAGGCAGGGAGGTCTAACCCCTCCTGACCAAACTAGTGCAGATAGGCTTACAGACACATAAGAGTGGGCTCTCACAGGGAATTGAATACCTGTTCGTGGTTTACCCAATAATAGGTGTTGTGGACTGTTGTCAATTACCAGGGTTAGCCTTCAGTTTGATGCCCAACAGGCTTTATGTAATGCTCTGTCTTTTCCCCATATGGTAAAGTCATTATCTAACATTTGCATCACCCAAAAACCTCATTAGGCCTGTTTTCATCAGCTCCAGATTGCCAAATAACCCACTATTTTATCTATCCTGATCGCAAATTAACCAGTTAATTTGCGTCTTCATCAGCCCGCAGTTGCAATAAATGGGATATTTGGTAGAGAAAATATCCAGAGAAATCTTGGTCTTGTGTCCAAAATATCCTGCTATTTGGGAAAAAGTAGGCTAATTTTCACCCGTCCGAGCTAGTTTGTGATGAGCGTAACGGTCTAGTGAAAACCCAATTTTGATGTTCGGGATAATATCCTGAGTCTGAAAATAGTGGGTTATTTGGCAAAGTCAAGCTGATCTTGATAGACTGCAGCCCTAGTCATTTCAGGCTTTTGTATTCTTTGGATTAAGTTCGCCGAGAAACAGATTTTACTTGCCAAGTCATCTCCCATCTTTCTTTGCAGATACCTGAACGCAATCCAGACCATGTGTCCTCACATCCTGCGTTACCTGACAACGGCTGTCATCACCAACAAGAGCAGGAGGAGATCGGTACTCAAAGATCTAGTCAGAGTTATACAACAGGTAAATAGGCTCTTGCTATGTTGGTTGCTGACTGCGAAGACTAGGATCGATTTAAGTTTGATTTGAACTATGGCAGGCTGTTCATGCCACTAGTTCCTCTAACCATTCCTGGCATTGGTTCTCAAGGGACGTCAAATTGTGGTCACAAATCTACAAAATTGACATTTTTATTGAACAAAAAAAATATTATCTAAAGATCATGGTGAGAGCAACCAGTTGCATGAATAGGCTGCCATAGTCCAACTTAAGTTGATCTTAATCTTTGTGAAACACCCCCAGGGGAAACACGGTCTTAAGTCCCCACAAAAAGACTTGGTAATCAGGATTAGGTCTTACCAAAGGGCACTAGCGCATCAACTTGGTTTCAAACCCGGGACCTCCCAGTTACAGAACTACTGCTTCCCCACTGAGCCATCACGCCTCCTTCCAATACAGAACCCTTTCCCAGTAGGTACAGTGAAACATTCACTTACAAGTAATTCAGCGAACTTTGCAAATTTGCATGCTGCAGGGATGTCTGTTTCAGGCAATAGCCTGAATTCAGGCCCTGGCGAGTTACTTTCAAACCATAGTTTAGGGTATTTTGTGTACAAAGTAGCTCATTCTACATGTAGGTGATTTTCAGGCCCTCTGATCAATTCTACCTGGCATCCCTGATATTGAATTGTTATACTGGACTAAGCAGTTTTTGAATTGTTTCGTTGTTCTGTGAGAGTACATATAGTTGTAGGCAGAAACATCAGTAATTTATTGCAACAAATGGTTTACTGAATCAGTGAGCCCTTTTTAATAACACACTTTACAACTTTAGTTTTCTTGTGAAATCTAGTTTCAGTGGAATGATATTTATGCTTCATGTATTAATTATCCCAAACATCGTCTGTAATCTTAACTTTGAACTTAATTCCCTCTCCACCCCCCCCCCCCTCCCCTCTCTCTCTCTCTCTGTCTCCCTCTCTCTCTCTCTCCCTCTCTCTCTCTCCCTCTCTCTCCCTCTCAATCTCTCTCTCTCTCTCTCTCTCTCTGTTCCTCTCTCTCTCTGTCCCTCTCCCTCACCCTCTCACTCTCTCGCTATTTCTCTGTACAGGAATCCTACACATACCGAGATCCCATCACAGAGTTTGTAGAATGCCTCTATGTTAACTTTGACTTTGATGGAGCACAGCAGAAGCTCAGGGAATGTGAAAAGGTGAGTGTATATTGCATGGTGATGATCCGACAGTTGCCTAGGCAACATTTTTTCTGAGCTAATTGTTTTTGAAAATATATATATTTTTAGGGTAAAGTGTAGATTTATTCACTTTTGGGTGTGGGTTAGGGTGAATAATTGTGTTTGGTCCAATATCAAAGTTAGGATTCAGATGCTTTTGTTAATTTCCATGGATTTAGTGTTTTAGGTGAGAAGTAACTTGATGAGAAATGTAATCCCCAACCAATCTCATTCCCGAGTTAAAAATAACAAACATTAAAGATAAATTTAAGTTCTGGTCATGCAGATGCATTGTAAAGAAAGGGTGTGGAATCAATCAGAAAAAATTGATCATGTAGCATATAAGTATTAGTGTGTACTGCAAGGTTGTGGAATCATCAAAATGATACAAAATTTGGCCCAGTCTTCGTAAAAATAACAAACATTGTACACAGAAAGTTGAAAATGGGACTACTCAAAGATGTGGCATAAAAACGATGTCCTCATTTTAAAGCTGTTACATGTGATATTTAGCATATGAAGGCAGTTGAAGAGCCATGCTTTTCAGGGAACTCTTTTTTCCTGATGTTATTCCACACTTGCATTATAACAATGACAACCCTCACAAATTATTGTTCACCTCTCCCCAGAACTCAACCTTCTCTTTAAAGACACCATTCGACAATGTTAAATCTGAGATGCACGCCCTACGTGTTATCAGTGTCTGTGATATGGATTAATATTGAAGCCCTAACAAAATTGCGCTTCTAAATGATCAAGAAGTGCCTCAAAAAAGTAAAAATCTTTGAGTGACCGGTTTTACCATACTCGTTTTCCCCAATAGACTGTAGTGTTATGAAAACCGTTTGGAAAACACAAAATTTGGTTTCGATTTCCAATCATAAATATCTTGATAATCAGACAGGTAATCGGCTTGTAAAAGACATGTGGTTCCTGACTGACCTAAAGGTTTATAATTATCATTGAAGCATGAGCTAAATCCAGGATTTTACTTCAGAATCTGAGACAGAGTTACTGTATCCCTTTAAATTATTAGATGGGTACATGTGTGAGCCCCCACTCCTCTTTATTATTTTTAAGCCTCTACAAAAAAAAAACGCATGCTAACCAAAGTCTTCTTCCGTATCACAGGTGCTTGTCAACGACTTCTTCTTGGTCGCCTGTCTTCAAGACTTCATCGAGAATGCTAGACTCTTCATCTTTGAGACATTCTGTCGCATCCACAATTGCATCAGCATCAAGTAAGTTTCAAAAAAAAGATTGGACTCTAGGCCAGAGTCACCTGTAAGATAACGCCTGATGTTTTTTCTGTATTTTGGAATAAACGACTGAAATTCTAAGCATGTGTTGATAATAATAATAATAATAATGATGATAATAATAATAATAATAATGATAATAACAATAATGATAAGGATAAGGATAATTATATTGATGATAATAATATTAATAATAATGATACCAATAATATTAATAATATTGATGATAATAATAGTAATATTGATAATAATGATAATTATAACAATGTTAATGATAGTAAACATAGGTTCATTTATTGAGCACAGCTACTATATGAACATACTCTACTGTGCTTTATAATCACCATATAATGCTTCGGTGTAGATTGACGCAGCCTGCAGACCATAAATTATCTGAGCCATATCATATCGATTGATTGCTCGTATCTGGTCTGCAGAGAGTAATAAAGGAGTGAAGCTTTCCTGCTTATCTGATTCCGTGATTGGCTGGCTATACAACACTCCTACATAGAGTATGATATGTATTGGAGACTAAACCAAGTTGAGTGAAGGCATGCACCGTGGTTATTTGTTTGAACACTTAAATGTAGATTGATTCTGCGTGGTAAAGACCCTGCAGAGGGCCTGACTAAGAGCGTCAAAACCTCTAACTTGCATTTACCATTTGAGTCGCAGGTGTAATGAAAGCATACCAGGGGGGTGTTTCACAAAGATCCTAAGTTGAACTTAACTCTAAGTTGGACTTAAACATTATGAGAGCCATTTGTAGCCTTAAAATAAAATATATTCAAAAGCAAAAATTCAAGTATTTTAGACTTTTCATAAATTCCACATCAAGAACATAAAATCTCCTTGATGATAGAAATATGAATGATTTGAATCATTACAAAGATGTAACTCCATATTTTGCCAAAATGAGTATTTGATATCAAAATGTTCAGAAAAATGTGGGCTTTCCAGGACACACAAAGACTTAGCTCCAGCACCCAACACCCCATTGCAGTCACTGGGTAGTGAAACATAGACTTAACTCCTAAAGGTCCAAGTGCTCAGTGACGCATAAACCGCTTTTTTCAAAAATGGCTGAAATAGAGTTACGCTTTGTGTCACTGACCCCTCAATTTAATCTGTTCCTACTTTGGATGCCAGCAGAAATCAAATATCATTTTCCCTATTTTTTCTCTCACAATTTCCTTTGTTTAGCATGCTTGCGGAAAAGCTGAACATGCTTCCGGATGAAGCAGAGAGGTGGATCGTCAACTTAATCAGGAATGCAAGGCTAGATGCCAAGCTTGACTCAAAATTGGTAAGTTGCATTGATCAAAATTATTAGGTTTTGCCTCTCTTTAAAACACAACTTCTTAAAGTGACTCACTAACATTATTGAAGTTTGATGAAAAACTGCATAATTTTTGTATTAAATGTTACTCATTATATTCCTTTTACTGTACTAGCCCTCTAACAACCAAAAAATCCTAAGAAAATGCTCAAACCCAAAAGATTTTTATGGATTTCTTTGAAGGCGTCACTGTGCAACACCCTCTTACAGTAAATTCTCCCAACCATTTTGGAATTTTCCCAACGTTTCATAATGGTTAACCGAAACCGTCCGTATAAAGTAAACGGCTAAATGTTTAGCAAAATACGTTATGACTCGGGCCTAATATATATTAAGTAGGTTTTTAGTTTGCAGACCATAAATTATCTGAGCCATATCATATCGATTGATTGCTCATATCTGGTCTGCAGAGAGTAATAAAGGAGTGAAGCTTTCCTGCTTATCTGATACTGTGATTGGCTGGCTATACAACACTCCTACACATTTTGATATTAATGGCAAATCCTGACATCCTGATTGTAAATATTAGTTGTGCCGGCCCTAGCAAGACTGAGCTTTGTGTTATTAGATTCAGACTTGTGAAGCATGTATTACAGAGCTGCCAACCAGTACGATTTTATTGTATTTCTTACAATTTTTAGAAGTTAATATATAGTATGATTTTCCCTCAAAATATATGATTTGTATTTTGTGTGTGTGTGCCATTTTTAATGGCAAATTGCCCATTTGCTCCTGCAAAGCATCCTACAAGCATCTAACATCGGCAATTGGGGGATGTTCTTTGGTTCATCAATCATTTTACCCCAACACAAAAGTCAGCATTGTTCTCAGAACGTGGCCCTAGCTCTCTATCGCCTCATTACTTCTCCACTATTAAACACAATTTCTATTTGACGTCTGTCTGTAGGGTCACGTCGTCATGGGAACCCAGAGTGTATCGCCATACCAACAGGTGATTGAGAAGACCAAGAACCTGATCCATAGAAACCAGCTCCTAGCTGTCAGTTTAGAGAAGAAAGAGAACCAGCTCAAACAGCTATCCAACGCACAACAGGTGAGTCCATTGTGTTTTTGGAGGATTGAAATGATACCGTCAGTCGTCATGGGATCAGGGGGGTGTTTCACAAAGACTAAGATTGACTTTAATTTGGACTTGACTATAGCAGGCCGTTCGTGCCACTGTTTTTTCAAGTTTGAAGTTTTTATTGCTCCATATTTTACAAAAAATATAGACATACTTATGAAATAGAAATGATACAATACATATAGTATAAATGAGCAATTTTCAATTATTCTCAATTCATATAATAGATTAAGTAGAATGTGAGGAACCTATTAAAAAGCAGTGCTTGTATATCATAAGTTCCTGGCAAAATAAGTATTGTAAATGAAAAAACTGTATCAGTAGAGAAAGATGTAATTTAGAGGGGAGAATGTAAAACACAATAGAATAAGGAAATTTGTTTACCAAATAATGCTTACCATTATGATCATTAGATATCATATTTTCCTTCAACAATGAATTATCCAAAAATGTAAATTCTGTAGATTAGTGACCATTGTTTGTACATCCCTTGAGAGACCAATACCAGTTAATGGTGAGAGCAAACAGTGGCATGAATGGCTTGCCATAGTAAAGTCCAACTTAAAGTCAATCTTAATCTTTGTGAAACACCCCCCAGGGCAAATATTATAATGGTGTCAAGTTCTCTGGTATGAGTTCTTTCTTTTATCAAGCATGGAAGATGAACTCATCCGTTGGAAGATTTTTATATGGTAACATATTTGTGCCATGCCTAAATCCTTCCCTATTGGTTTTCTCTTGCAGGCCTGATAAAAACCCGATTTAAATCGGTTTTCCGATTTTTCCCGATTTTTTTCTTCTTTCCGATTTAAATTTTTTTTTTTTTTTTTTTTTTTTACCAATTTTTTTTTCTTCTTCCCTCTTTTATCCTGATTTTACAGATTTCCCTGTTATTGTCTCGAATCTTCCCTATTTTTTCCCCATTTTTCCCCCGCGAATCCTCTTCTCTTTTTTTTACTCAAGGGGGGCGTGGTTGAGGGGAAAACAAGAAAACCTATTTTTTTTTTAGTGCTCACTATCACCCCTGCTCTTGAAGCTTTCTATATATTTTGAAAGGAGAATTTGTCCCGAAAAATGACCACAAAATCTTTTATGTACAGTTTGGATCTGGGTCATTACAAAGCTATGATTATAGATCATTTATATTATGTAGGGTTTTAATTTGCAGACCATAAATTATCTGAGCCAAATCATATCGATTGATTGCTCATATCTGGTCTGCAGAGAGTAATCAAGGAGTGAAGCTTTCCTGCTTATCTGATTCCGTGATTGGCTGGCTATACAACACTCCTACATACAGTATGATATTAATGGCAAATCTTGACATCCTGATTGTAAATATTAGTTGTGCCGGCCCTAGCAAGACTGAGTTTTGTGTTATTAGATTCAGCCTTGTGAAGCATATTATGCTTATGTCATAAAAACACGCCACAGTTTTGCCATGTCATATCTGAATGAACCTTAACCCTACGTTAACTGGGGGGGGGGGGGGGTCAATTTGACCCCCCCCCCCCCCCCCTGTAGAAATTTTGCGACTACTCCAAAGCCGCGGCAGATATAAAAAATTTCTTTCATTACTTTTTTCTTTTGAGTCTTACGCATCTTTTAAAATGATTTTTTTGAAAATCGGACGTACATGTGATTTGTGTACAAAACATATGGAAATGTCATTTTTTCTAAAAAGAGATAAAGCATTGGTTATTTAGTCTTGTTTAAAGTTTAGGTGTTTGTTTTGGGGTCAAAATAGTTAAATTGTAGTTATAAATGAAATAAAACAACAAATATACGTAGTGAAAAAGAATGCTTAAATTTGAATAATGTATGATTTATGGGCAAAAATGTGAATTTCATGACCTTGTTTGCATAAATTTCCATAAATATGCAAATGAATGAATTTTTCAAAAAATTGAAATTACCATAGTATTCTATAAACTTCACTTGACATGTATGCAAATTTTCGCGGCGATCAGCAGTGAAACAGCCGAGATCTTGGGGGGGGGGGGTGGGTGGGGGTCAAATTGATCCCCCCCCCCCAGTAAAAACCTGGTCTGAAATAGCCCAGTTAAAATAGGGTTAAGGGGTGTCTTGTATACAAATATATATACAAATACTTTCCTTTGTATATATTTGTATCTTGTTTACAAATATATACAATTATTATCTATTTTATAAGGCTTCCAAGTGGTACAATAAATTAGTGTATTCAATATCTTTAGCGAAGTACCTTGATAACTGACCAATATTGTTTTCATATTGCTCAGTCATCCGGGAACTATCGATATCACACACACAAAAAAGCAAAATTTTGTTATTTCGCAAGTCAGCCTGATAATAATAATAATAATTAAGCCCGAGTCTTTATGGTTTTTGTGCTAAACGTTTAACCGTTAAAAGTATACGGGCGGTTTCGTTTAACCGTTATGAAAATACATGAATTTGTAATAGTGCTGTAGCTGGAACACCTGCCGGTCTTCAGCCCGATAACTTTTTTTTTCATCAAAAAAATGTCTTATTATTCCTCATCTGATATCATGATAAGCCTAGCAAAGTTACCTTAAACAATTGAGGTCAAGTTGATGTGAAGATGGCTTGATCTGTGATGTGTTTTAATATGCCTCTGCAATGTACTGTTTGCATGTATCATTGCGGTATGAATGTGGATGTGTGTAGTATCACACACACACACCCAAGACACACCCAGCAATGAGCTGATCAAAATTAGTGACCAATCAGGAAGTTTTCTCTAGCTATGTGGGTGGAGTTTGATACCAGCATAAATTACAGTCTGGTGACCGAACGTGCATGGACCCAGTTTAGTGGGAGGTCAAAAAGCCACTTGACAGACATGTGCGTGTGTGTGTGTGTGGATGATGAAAGTTTGTACAGTGTATTTGGGCGCCGATGTTTGAGACGGATTGTGTGTACGTGTGTGTGTGACAGAGAGAGCATGCATGCACCATGGAGAGAGTGAAGAAGTAAGACAAGTGAGATAGAACATGAGAAAGGGTGGCTTTGAATTGAAGAATGATCAAAAACTTAACTTAGAATCCAGAAGTAAAATGCCTCATGTATTTTCTCTTTCTCTTCCTTTTCTCCAATAGAACCCAGAAGTAAAACCTTGGGCCCCGGAGAACTACTGAGGGCACTATCACCCACCAACCGTCTAGAGCAGAGATCACATAATTTATTTATCCCCATCTATGTTACGTCAGGATCGTAGCATAAGTTTAGTCAAAATTATGAAGATTCAAAGTTTCTCTCACTTTGTCTTCACTTCTCTGGTATTAGGTATTGTAATTGATATTTTCATGATGGAATGTGTGTAGGGGAGATCTGGTTGAGTTAAGCAAATTATTTGTATTCAATTCCGATCCCTACATTTTTTTCGTATACAACACTGTAGCACCTTTTCCTTGTACAGTCAAACCTGCTTTAGTGACCACCTGTCTACAAAGACCACCTGTCTACAAAGACCACCTGTCTACAAAGACCACCTGTCTACAAAGGCCACATTTGTTGTTTTCCTTGAAAATGGTTTCCCATTGAATCATGTACTAAAGGAACCTGTCTACAAAGACCACCTGTCTACAAAGGCCACTTTTTGTGTTTCCCATGGGTGGTCGCTATAGACAGGTTTGACTGTACTTGAACGTACAGACCCTACCTGATGAAAATTCAAATTTATATCAATGGAAAGCTAAACAAATGAAGACTACAGAATATGGAGGAATGAAAAATATTTTCCCTGTCAGCATTGCACGAAAGCAAATTAAAACCTCATTTTCCACACCCCTCCAAATTACAGGTCAACAGGGGTCAAATTTGCTGCAGTTTCAGTGACATATAATTCATCTATTTCATTTTTCACTCCGACATGGTCCTAGACAATGTTTCACATTTTCTTGAGTTCTAAAATTCGTGTTTGGAGATCCTAGCGAGGAATTCACGTAAATTAATGTTACACAAATACTTCAACTCTTACAGTGTTCTGGCCCATGCTAAAAACATTGTTGTATTTCTACATCAAAGGTTTCAGTAAATATATCCAGCCAACATAGATAATATATGAATTTTGCACATGAGAAACAATCGCTTCAACCCTACCAGGTCTCCCCGACACAACGTTGATAATTAATGGTAGTAAACAATTATCATTCAAATTAAGATTTCCATGATTAACCTACAAATGCCGAAATTTGTGAACTCTTTAAGAGCAATCTTGCACTATGTTCAGTTTTCCTTTGAGCTAATGAGGAAATATTTTTGCAGTTAATCATAAGTTTTCAACTTCTTGAGCCCTTCGTGAAATGCATGACTGAATGAGGATGTTGTTTCGACGAAAGGGTTTTGATCGTTCTAGTCCATTCCAGAGTAGTTATGCAATGTTTGCTCCAATCTCCTCAATATTCATAATAATTTTGTGTAGGCATGCTCAACATATTTAGTAGGATTTTCCGTGTCTAAGTAGCTAGTATGCCTATAGAAGAAGAACGTTGTACCATGAGCCTTGTACATTCAAGGGAGTAAAGTAGATAAATGTTTTGGCGAGGAAAATTGGTGCCGCGGCGGGACTCTAACAGCGAGATTGACAGTCCGGGGACATACAATGTAAATCGGTAGGCCATGACACATCCAAATGTTAACAAATTGTTTAGAATAGGAGACGGTGCCTAGTGCAGTCATAAATTCCCCTCCCCAGATTTCTTGCACCCAGTGTATGATTTTATTGTTCTCAAAATGTCCTCTCATGTTATACTTTTTGACAAATTTTGTCTTTATCAAGTTTAAGAATTAGTTATGTAACCGGTATTTTTAGTTTACAGAAAAATATGGTTATATCCAAATATTTTGTTCAAACTTTCTTCTCATTGAATGAGATTTGGCATGTAAAATCAAGGAGCTATTGAAATAAATACATATACATACATGTACTGTCCATATTACTTGCATTCCCATTGTTATTTGTACTCATTAAACACTGTAAACGTTCTATTAAAACTATTATACAAATATACACCATCTTGAGAGGTTCTGGTTGAAACTATGGGCAAGGTTTCGACTCCAATAGTACTATTTGCTGTGGGGAGCAGCCCCAAGTAAATGGTACTATTGGAGTCACCGAGGCTCATAGTTTTAACCTGTACCTTGAAAAGAAGGCAGGGTATATTGTTTTACATCCTGCATCCAATATACAAAAAAAATTCAACTCCCAAATAGTACTCTTTCAGGCAACCTATAAATGGTTGAAGTATTTCAGGTCACGTGAAGAGCTCTCAACCAATCAAAAACCAATACATTTTTGATACAGGATATACCGGTAATTCACACTATTACAACAGAGTCAGACGACAAACTACCACTGGCTAATTTCCATATATTTATTAATGATAAAAACATTATGATATCAAAGTACATGTATTAGAAAAAGTGTAATTAATTTTACGAGTGAATGAAACTTAAAAAAGAAAAGGGACAAAAATATCCTACCCCCCCCCCCTCCCCTCCTTGTGACCCAATCCTACATAAAGTTGATTAAATAACAATATCCTCTAAAGTGAAGAGAATGAAATTGTAATTGATTTAAATAATGCTAAGAATCCTACCCAAAGTTTTAGTGCATTGAACTCGTCTAGTCAGACCAATAGCCAAATCGACTACAAACCATAGACAATCGCGTTTGAGATTCTGAGCCAAATTAGCTTCTCCTCGACAGGAAACATGAAATCCCTTGAAAATGAAATTTTCATAATCATATGAATATTCAGATCCTCCGTCTTGAAAGGTAATACAAAGTTTTGGTATGGGGTCAAGAATTTTGTTAAAATGAACATATTGGAAGCATATACGATCCTACAATATTCAGTAATCGTTGTCGCGGTTGAAATCGAGTCTAAAGTTATGAAATTGTAAATAATAAACTCTTTATGTTGTAGAGCTCCCTCTCAAGGTCAAGATGTTAATTAAGCTATGAAACGATGTTTCTGGACTAAAATCGACCGAACTGCTATTCCCGTTTGGAAATGATATATCACAACTACATATTCTGAGATTTTCATGGTCGCAGCTACCATTGTACAGCCGTAGGAGCTGTTCAAAATTTATCAAAATTCACCAGGAGCACCAGTAAATTTTATATTAAATTTTTCTCGAAAGCAGAATTGTTTTAGGAGCTAAATTTTCTAGTGCTTAGAATACATCCACATGGGCATCCAAATATATCAAAATTGTAAAGAATCACTATCCACCCAATTTTCAAAAATTTCCCAAAACTTTGTATTACCTTTAAGATTTTACAGGTTTGAATGATAGCATCAAATGCTATTGCAAATTCTTCCAAAATCATATCGTATTTGAACTTGTTTTAAAGGTATTTTGGGTGTTACTGTATCCCTGCCCCCCATAAAACAACATGTACAGTGTACTATCATACCTCCCTATTCCAGTTTACCTACTGCTAATTGCACCAATCTCTGTTGAAAAATGAACAGAAATATCTACATTTAAAAATCAATCTACATATACATACATAATAAAATAATTCAGAAATATACATGCACAATTAGTTATCTGTGTAAATTTAAAATCTGAGATCAATCCAAATATGCCTAGATAAAATGCGTTATGACTTAAACATTGCATATTAAAGGTTGTGAAAGAAATACATGCTCATTTATTGTACATTATTTAAAAAAAGTTCAACATCACTTGATCAGTGAAATATTATTGAAAGGAATTTTTAAGTTTCAACAAATGTGGATGATGAATACAAAATATTTTGGATGAGAATAAACCAGAAGTCCAACATTAAAAGCACATTTTTATTTATAAACCCCTCAAAAAAAGTTTGGACACTCAAGTTCGATTGATTACATCTCTCTTGTTACGACATAATCATCGCTATGATTAGTAACATTAGAAAGTGTGTTAAAGGTAAAGACCAGTTTTGGAAACGCCCCAATTTCAAAAAAGAAACGGAAGCTCTTATTACCAATCATGTGAAGAATATGTTTTGACTAATACATGATGATAAAATATTTGCCGGGAAACCGCCTACTAATTGATATATTTGGTAAATTAGTTTATCTATTGGTGTGTGAGAGATAAACACACGTGTTGCGCATGTGTGCGTATAGTCCCATATACATCTTCCTGTGTACAGTGCTTGTAACTTTACGAAGACTGGGCCAAATTTCTTATCATTTTGATGATTCCAGAACCTTGCAGTACACACCAATACTTATATGCTAGATGATCAACCTTTTCTTATCGATTCCACACTGTTTCTTTCACAATGCAAGTGCATGACCATAACTGGTCTTTACCTTTAAAATAAGAGGCAAGGTCAAAAGCGAAAAGTTGCAAAATGCACAGCTCTTGTTCTTCTATGCATTCTTTTTTTTTTTAATAGTACGTGTAAGGGCTGCTGTATATTGCACTGCATAATCGTACCAGTGCATTTTGCAACTTTTCACTTTTGACCCTGCCCCATATTCTGATGTTTACAGCTCATTCCATGGCTACAAAATCATTACAAATAGGTTACCATTGTAAACAGGAATAAACATATTGCCTAATGATACTAAACAAAGTGATAATTATCCCATGACGAAAGAGATATAATAAATCAAACTTGAGTTTCCAAACTTGTTTAGAGGAGTTTAGAATGCAGAAAATAACAGGATGTGATTAAAGGGATCTGGTAACTTTGTCACCGATTCTGAAACAAAATCCCAGATTTAGCTCATGCTGCAATCGTAATTATAAACCTTAAGGTCAGTCAGGCCACCCCATTACTTTTACAAGCCGATCGCCTGTTTGATTATCAAGATATTTATGATTGGAATTACAAATTTTGAAAACCGTTTGCCAAACGCTTTTCATAACACTACAGTCTATTGGGGAAAACAAGTATGGTAAGACCGGTCACTCAAAGATTTGTACTTTCTCGAGGCACTTCTTGATCATTTTGAAGCGTGATTTTTGTAGGACTTCAATATTACACCGGCCATATCACAGACATTGATAAAAAGTCGTAGGGCCGTGCATCTCAGATTTAACATTGTTGAACGATGCCTTTAAGAATAATTTTTTTTCTTCCAAAAGTACGAATGAAAACTGGATAGCAACTGAATCTTTAGCATGTGTCCTATTAATAGTAATTCTATCGCATCAATCATAATCATAAGAAAGTATACATGTATAAATATTTATACATGTACTTTCAGTTTAGATAATGTTGGCTGGTCTCCAATAAGATATATCATCATCAATAGTAATAAATTAAATATTCATGATGCGTCATAACTCATAAACAAATGAAAGTTCTTTTTTTTTGGATGAACATGCAGTTTACAAAGACTACATACATAAGTATATCATCTATTGGAGCCGGAAGGATGTTAGTTGTCTTGTGTACTTTAACACAGCATTGGTGCTCTCCTGGTGCCAAACAGACATTATGAAAAATTGAATCTCTTTCTATTCTCGTGATTGTACAACTTTATAATAATGACAACATACATAATTATATCATCTGTTGGAGCCAGAAGGATGTTAGTTGCCTCGTGTACTTTTACACAGCATTGGTGCCCTCCTGGTGCCAAACAGACATTATGAAAAATAGAATCTCTTTCTATTCTCGTGATTGTACCGCTTTATAATAATGACAACATACATGGTTATAATACCTGTTTGGAGCTGGAAAAATGTTATCTCGTATACTTATACACAGTGGGTGGTATTCCGGTAGCGCGTACTAAGTTAGCATGTACTAACTAAAGGTAGTCCACACTTTTATGGAGTGCCTGTTGCCAACTCATTTACCCTGTACAGATTATTTTAATCCTTCAATGAAAAGTGTCCAAAAAATTAATTTTGCAATGAAATGGGAAGAAAGAGTTAATATGAGTATGAACTGAATTTCAACAAAGTCTTTGGTAGATTATCTTTGTCATGAACATTGAAGGAGGAAGATGAAACCTAGCATTCCATAGAAGTGTGAACTAAAATTCATGCTTAGTCTGGACTTAGTCCCAGCTTAACTGATGAGAATGCCACACCATGTTGATGCCATTCTACCCCCCCCCCCCCCAACAAAAAAAGAAAATGATATGACAAATACCAATTATTATTCTATCCTCATGAACATGCAGTTTCATACTGAAAACAAACATTGTACATGATTATCTTGTTTGCTTCGGAGCCAGAAGGGCATTACCTCATACACTAACTCAGATTTTATGACTTTTATTTGCTGACATAATCAAAATTACTCCAGAACAGTACCGATATTAACCAATACATGCAAGGAATATGACTAAACATTATTGCATAAAATTGTACTGCTATATTACAGTCTTACCAAATTAAAACGTAGGTACATTTATGTATTACATGTATTCTTGATCTTCAACTGCACACATGGTTCATGAAGTTATAACAGGCTTTCAGGCTACTATTATTCAAATTACCATCCTTCAATTTATAACACAATCTCTCATAAGTATAAAAGGTAAAACATCTTGTAACAAATGTGGTGAAAAGGAGTCAAAGACAGAGTGACAGAGAGAGAGAGAGAGAGAGAGAGAGAGAGAGGGAGGAAGAGAGAGAGAGAGGGAGGGAGAGAGAGAGAGAGAGAGAGAGAGAGTGATTGGGAGAGAGAGAGGAAAACAGACGGACAGACAAAAGGCCAGACAGAGGTCAGAAGTCATCTATTTCATATACGGAATGAGGTTGGCGATAAACCACTCATCGGAGAAGCGAAGATGGTCCCAGGGTGCCGTGAGGAAGACCAACTTATTGGCTGCGTCCATCTGCTTCAAACCAAGCTTGTCCTGATGGGGGAAAACAGGAAGAATAGATAAAGGAATAACACTATAAATGTAAAATGATTATCAATTAATTATCAATTAAAGGCCCACTGCACTACTTGTAGCTAGTTGCGCCCTCTATATAACAAACAATGCCTAATCGGTGACCATTGGTCCCCCATGATCCTCTTTTTCTTATGTTATCTGAGAGCTGAGTTGATGAGATAACCACCTGTCCAGTGACCTTGCAGGGCAGTCTAATCCCTCCTGTAAACTACGGCAGATAAGCTTTAAGTTTATTAATTTCCATAAAAATCACATTACAAGAACAAATACATTTGCAAATACTACTGTAAATAACATGCAAAATGTTTCACTAGAAAATACATACCAGTAAGTACATTAAAGTTGCTCAAGCTTAGGTATATAGAGGGCAGCTAACTGAGCCAATGGGTATTACGATCCTGTGCGAACTAGTTTCCCTAATATGCGTTAGTCTGTACAGGAGCGTAAAACCTGTTGGCTCAGTGTTTGCCAAGTTACCTACCGGTACTTCACGAACAACTATACACCGATGCATGAACATCTTTAAGATATTAAACAATAATGGAAAAATGGAAGTTATAAAAACCCAAATAAATGAGGTTGTCGAGATATCTTCCCGAAAAGTAATTAAACAAAATGTGATGAACATAATAAAGATTTGAATTTACATAAACTTATTTTGCCCCAAGAAAACCTGTATAAAAATGAGAAACACACAAAAAAATATCCAAGCCCTACAAATACACACACATAAATAAAGTGGAAAAATATTCTACACAATATCAAATGTGATTAGATGCTGCTTTACACTTCTTTTAAATCTTGTAACTCATCATAGATGTTATGTTATTTGGCAAAGTATTCCATATAACCAAGGATAACAGTTGGTTTGACCCAATTAACCTGAAAAGGTCAAATGTTCATTTTCTATATGACTCCGAAAGGAGGAAGTATTTGTAGAGTGCCTTGTGAGGTATATGAATACATGTATTTATGAAAGAAATTGATTAATCCCCTACAATGATGATGAAATATTATCACAGGAAATCACTCAAGGGTTTGGGGTTTCAATTGCCCATTAATAAAATTCTCGATCAGCTCAAGTTCAAGATGTTAAAATAAGAAGGGAAAAAACAGAATTAGATGATGATACAAGATTGGGAAAAAGCACTACAGATCCATGTAAAAGGAAGAAGTACAGATAATCATGGAGTTAATGAGAAAATCAAAGTAGTTGTTATAAGTCATGTAAATGAGGAAATACAAGAAAAGCAGCAGGGGGGATGTGCAAAATCCCAAAGGGGAAAATAAGATAACTGAACATGAAAGAAAAGTATGAAGAAATGACAAGGAAGAAAACACTCATATCTACAGAACTAGGATGGAATAGGAAGAAAATAAAATAAAACAAGATAATGAAGAAATAAATAAATGTTTCTACCTGAATGTATAGTTGGCTTTCTCTCAGCGTGTACAGCTTAGAGGTGGTCCCGGCGACATAGAAACCAAACCACTGGAAATAAATAATCAAAAAGATATATTAATCACATACATGTATTTGTACACTGTATGAAAAAGAAGAAATGAGAAGGAGAAGGAGTAGGGGAAGGAGAAGGGGAAGGAGAAGAAGAGGGAGAAGGAGAAGAAGGAGAAGAAAAAGAAGAAGAAAAAGAAGAAGAAAAGAAGGAGGAGAAGAAGAAGGAGAGGGAGAAGGACATGAAGAAGAGGGAGAAGGAGAAGAAGAAGAAGAAGAAGAAGAAGAAGAAGAAAACAAGAAGAAGAAGAAAAAGAAGAAGAAGAAGGAGAAGAAGAAGAAGAAAACAAGAAGAAGAAGAAGAAGAAGAAGAAGAAGAAGAATAAGAAGAAGAAGGAGAAGAAGAAGAAGAAGAAAAAGAAGAAAACAAGAAGAAGAAGAAGAAGAAGAAGAAGAAGAAGAAGAAGAAGAAGAAGAAGAAAGAAGAAGAAGAAGATAAAGAAGAAAAAGGAGGACAGGAAGTAGAAGAAGAAAAGGAAGAAGATAAAGAAGGAGAAGAAGAACAGGCAGTTGAAAAAGAAGAAGAAGGCAAAGGAGAGGAAGAAGAAGAAACAGAAGAAGAAGAAAAAGAAGAACGAGGAGAAGAAGAAGAAGAATGAGAGGGAGAAGAAGAAGGAGGGGAAGAAGGAGAAGGAGAGAGAGAACTCAGAGAAGGAGAAAGGGCAGGAAGTAGTGGCAAATTAAATAGAACAGCAAAATCTTCATTCTTACCTCTGATTCTTTGGGTTCGACCATGGTGTCTTCACCAAACATGACCATCACAAACTTATTCAGCGTCACCAGGTTCTTCTTGTAAGTCTGATTCACATACTGCATACAAACACAAACATAATATAGGTTAGAGGTGAATAGTAAAAATATACTTGTTAATAAAAATAAATAATAAGAGGCATTTGTATAGCGCTATTCCAAGGGGCACAAGAAAATAGAAAGAATAAGCGAGTGTCATAGTGCCAAGTACAGGTATTGTTAAACAAGATGAGATTTCAGCTTGCATTTAAAGGTCTCTAAGGAAGTCATGATTCTCAAATTCAATGGGAAATTATTCCAAAGATAAGGTGCTGCAGCTGAAAAGGGTCGAGGTCACCAGTTTGTTGAGTTCGTGTTGGGGGTTAAATTGGCGTATGGTTGGTGTTGGTGTTGGTGTCGGTGAAGATAAAAATTTGAAAGCCAGAACACTCTTAACGGACCAATATCGCAGACATCATGCAATCTACGCCACCGACGAAGACCAAAACTAAATGGGTAAGAGTTAGTTCACCGATTTCATGGTATGACAAATGTTGACATCTTCATTCCTCAAAAAGTACCTGTCACGAACCCCATGCATATTCACGTACATATGTATATCATTTTGCGCATGAGAAAAAGACGTGATTTGATGAAGATCTCATTTTTGATTAAAAACCAACGACCATCTGTACAGGTATTTTATTATTCTTAATTAGTTTTAATTATGTTGCTAGTTTTGCTACTGTTCTGTTTCTATATGATTTAATGATGTGATTTAAAAAGAAATCTATTGTCACCTAGTTTTGATGTACATGTACCACAATTCAATACTGGGGGGTGTTTCACAAAGATCGACTTCCAGTTGGACTTAACTATAGCAGGCCATTCATGCCACTGTTTTCTCTCACCATTTGCTGGCATTGGTCTCTCACAGGACTTCCAAATCAAGGACACAAATCTACAGAATTTACATTTTGTTAATATTTCATTATTGAAGGAAAAAGAATTATCTAAAGATCATAATGGTGAGAGGAAACAGTGGCATGAGCGACCTGCTATAGTTAAGTCCAACTTAAATTTGATCTTAGTCTTTGTGAAACACCCCTGGCCTAATACAATACAACGGGAAGAGCCACTTTAATGGGTCTCTTTTTTTAAGAACCCCCCCCCCCCCCCGAAACATCAGGTATGGTTTTGTGCTGCTGAAAAATCACTAAAAATGGCCCCAAAATTAGTATTTCCTTCAGAATAACACTTCACCTTGCTAAAGTGCAAATCCCAGATGCAAAAAATAATTGAAACCCTTTTACTTTTTCATTCAAAGTCCTCTCCAGTGTTGCCAAAATAACCTTTAAAATGGCTATGGGTTTGGAGGCTTCAACTGCACACCCTTATCGACAGAGGTTGATTAAAATAGTTTAGTTTCGTTTCTCTTATATCTATATGTGTTCCCTCTTATATTTGTTCATTGTTTATATCTACATGTAAATATGTCAGTTTTAATAAATAAATGTGTTCCTCTCTTATTCTTGTTCATTGTTTATATCTACATGTAAATATGTTATATTGACCTCTGCTCTTGCAACTGAGTCTGGAATAAAGTCTTGAATTGAATTGAATTATAAAATGGCTTCCTTCGGGACATAAGTGCTGGGGATCGAAACAACAACCTTCAAGTGGTTAGACAATGCGACTATGAAAGTGGGTGGGTGACTGATTTACAAAATTACATGTATCTCTAAAAAAACCTCTTAAATAGACATTGTACGAGTAGCTTACAATTTCTTGGCTAATAATGGCATAAGAGCTGGGGATCGAACCCACAACCTTCATTTTTCTAGTCCGTGTTTAAACCCTTCGACTATGAAAGCTCTCGTGGATGACTGATTAGTAAACAAAAAATTTTAAATAGTAGTGAACAATGTAGGGGTAGCTTACATTTTCTTGGTTGATGATGGCGATAAACTTGCTGTATTGCTTGTACTCGGCTTCGTTGATAGGATCATGCCAGTACTGGGCCTGCACGAGACTACGATAAAGAACGAACAGAGAAGAATAAGCGCCATCAATTGCATCGTCTATGGGCACTTTTGTCATGTACATGTAAAGCATTGCTAGTTACTGAACATCGTGATCATTGGAAGAAAAAAAAAGCACTAGTCTAGAGAAGTTGGTGATTTAGCTCAGTGAAGCTCAAATATGGGCATGGAAAATTAAAAAGAGCGCTTGAAGCAATACATTAAAGGTAATACAAAGTTTTGGGAGTTTTCGAAAATTAGGTGGATAGTGATTCTTTATAATTTTGATATATTTGGATGCACCTGTGGAAGTTTAATAAGCACTAGAAAATTTAGCCCCTAAAACACTTCTGCTTTCGAGAAAAATTGAATATACTATACCGGTGCTCTCGGTAAATTTTGATGAATTTAAAATAGCGCCTGTACATTAGTTTATCTATTGGTGTGTGAGAGATAAAGGCATGTGTCGTGCACGTGTGCCTAGTCCCATATACATCTTTCTGTGTACAGTGCTTGTAACTTTACGAAGACTGGGCCAAATTTCTTATCATTTTGATGATTCCAGAACCGTGCAGTATTATGCTAGATGATCAACCTTTCCTGATCGATTCCACAACGTTTCTTTCACAATGCAATCGCATGACATTATCTTTAACAACATCTGAAAGTCTCAGAGAAATAGGTTTAACAGGTTTCACTGTATATAAAAATAAAAATACTTACTTGTCTTGTACAAAGCTGCAGGCAGCCACAAAAAGGGGAAATAAAGAAGAAAGAAAGAAAATCACTAGTTACATGTGTATGGGTATTAACATATTCTAACTCATGAAAACAACTGTAAATTCATTGCTGTATCAAACCTGAACCACTGTGTATCCTAAATGCTACAAATTACTCCAGGGGGTATTTCACAAAGACCAAGATCAAACTTAAGTTGGACTTAACTATGGCAGGCTGTTCATGCCACTGTTTGCTCTTAAAGTTGATCTTAGTCTTTGTGAAACACCCCCTGTGGGTTCACTACCACTCCAAATGGAAGACCAGCGGCAATATAAGGATACTGCTGAAGATATCTTAATTTTATCTTGTAAATCATCATTCTATTTGTTATTGTTTGTTGTCTTTTTATAAGGATATATAACAAACAAACAAACAAAGAAACTTCATTTATATAATTTTTTAATATTTTGGCAATAAGGGATTGCGCATGATGTAAAGCAATACATTCAAAAAATTAAAAAACAAATTACCATACATACATTAACATGGTACACAATTTCCCCTCAGTAAAGACAGACTATATTTACAGCTAAGTCTCACAATGAAACAAACAATTAAAATACCAAATTAGACGCATGAAGAAACAGATGATGGTTGGCTGGTCTCCAATAAGATATATCCTCATCAATGGTGATGAATGAAAAATTCACGATTCAACATAAACAAATGAAATTCATTTCTTTCTTCATGAATATAGAGCTTAGCAATGACTTCATACATGAGTATATCATCTCGTCGCTGTTTTCACGAAGTGACTGTAGTGAAAAAAAATTGCATTCACTTTGCGTAGTCAACTCGTGAAAACGAGGACGATCTGTTGGAGCCAGAAGGGAGTTATGTCATATACTTTAACACAACAGATTTGTAACATACATGATCCGGCATGATTCTCTTACATACTAAAACTATTTTGCATCATATCCGAGGGGCTATAAGACCAAGACTCACCTGTCGTAAGCTCCCAAGTTGAGCATCTCTCTTGCAAGGTTACACAGAGTAGAATTGTCTCCTGGACATCGCGGGAAGCCATAGACACCTAGAAAAACCAGGATGAATTGATTTGATTTTTATTTCATTTTAGTAACAATATCGATCCCCTTCGATATTCCCGGGTATTTCATGTTCTGCGATCTGTATCCTACATAACACCTATTTATTTCAACCTTGGACCAAAAACTACAACAAGAAAACCATCTTAGTACCATAGACCCTTCACTAAAACTCAATGGCAACCCTAAGTACTATGTCCCGTTTGCAGGCCAAAAAAATGAAAAGGATAAATTCCAACAGCATTTGAAAGATAACACTTATTTAGTACTTCCCTGAAAAAAGGGGGCTTGAAAATGTCTTTAAGTGGGAAAACAAGGACTATTAGTCGTCAAATCGACTTAAGAGCTATAGAGCCAGTAAGTAGTAGTCTGATTTTCAGACCATTGTACCCAATGGTCGTACGTTTTATGTTGCGCAAATATTCAATCAGTTTAATTTTGGCCATTACAAGAAGTGGGTTATTGATGTAGACAAATGCTCATGTACCCTTTACAGCTCATTTTATGTATGTTATTACCAAAGAAGAAAACTAGATGGAACTTCGACTGCGTGCAGTCGAAAATGATGCCTCCGTCATAGAGCAATTTTACATACCAAAACAGAAGAAATTTTTCAAATTCAAGTTCAATTGTAATCCATTAACAGGTTCTCAGAATATCATGATTACAAGCAAGTTCTCATATACATATATGACCCTTTGATCTTTGACCTCATGACCCCAAAATCTACTCAGTTCATTGGCTCTGCAAGATACATAAACAATCTAAGTCTGGCAGGAATCCATCAATCTGTTCTTCAGATAACGCGATCACGAGCTATTTTTGCATACATAATGAGCCGCATGACCTTTGACCTCATGACCCCAAAATCTAATTAGTTTATTGGCTCTGCAAGATACATACATGACCAAAGTTTGGCAGGAATCCATTACTCAGTTCTTCAGATAACGCGATCACGAGCTGTTTTTGGATACATAATGAGCCCTATGACCTTTGACCTTTCACCTCGTGACCCCAAAATCTAATCAGTTCATCGGCTCTGCAAGATACATACATGACCAAAGTTTGGCAGGAATCCATTAATCAGTTCTTCAGATAACGCGATCACGAGCTGTTTTTGCATACATAATGAGCCCTATGATCTTTGACCTTTCACCTCGTGACCCCAAAATCTAATCAGTTCATTGGCTCTGAAAGTAAATACATGACCAAAGTTTGGCAGGAATCCATCAATCGGTTCTTCAGATAACGCGATCACGAGAACGGGACGTACGTACAGACGGACAACCCGAAAACATAATGCCTCCGGCTACTTCGTAACAGAGGCATAAAAAGCCAGTCAGTCACTCCATAGTGTCTGACTGAAGTCTAGCAAGTAAACGGGTTTCCTTGCATAATTTGAATATTAGGACACTGCTAACATTTAAATTTCACAGACATACATGACATATTCATAATTCCTGCAAAGTTCTACAGAATTTGATATTGGCTAGCAAAAGGGACATAGTATCTTTTAAGGTATATGTTCCATTTGCTGGCACAAAAAATGAAAAGGATAAATTCCACCGGCATTTGAAAGATAATACTAATTTGAACTTTCCTCAAAACAAAAGGGAATTAAAACGTCTTTTTGTGGGAAAATAACGACCGTTAGTTGTTGAATCGACTTTAGAAATTGCAATGCTTTAAGTAAATAGTCTGATGCTCAGACCCTTGTACCCAATGGTAATGCATAGAGCAATTTTCACTAGAGCGTTCCAGTGCTTCAGAGTACCATTCCTTTGAAGGTGGTGGGGCATTAAATTTAAAGACCGTCAATAGTACTGGGCCAAAAGGGATTACACCACACAGCAAGGTCACTGACAGGTGGCTATATCATTAACTCAGCTCTCAACTAACATAAGAAATAGAGGATCATGGGGGACCAACAGGCACCGCTTAGACATTGTTTGCTATATACATGTAGAGGTTGCAAGTGACTATAAGTAGTACAGGGGAGCTTTAAGAAGATTACAATATACAAAAATATGAAAGTGGAAATGAATATACCTTGGTGTTGGCCTCCTGCAGATATGAGATTGTGCATGGGAGGGTTTGGGCACATCTGGGCCACAGCTCTCCTGCAGATGAGGAAAAAAAAGATTAAATATAATCATGAAGTAGTGGTAAGATATATCTGCACATTGCTTCATGGTATATATGAACACCACGTATTAAAAGTGTGATTGTGGTGTGTAAGTCTGCAAAGCAGTTTAAGTCAAGATTTGGACAAACAATTTCTTTCTTTCATCTTGCTTAATAACTGAATAAATGTCACTCTACACCTTGATCCAGAAAGATAATATGCTAACTTATTTTGTGAAATGAAAGGGTGTTTACAAAATGAGGGGGGGGGGGGGGGGGGGGACCGGAAGCCACACTACCCACTCTCAACTGCAAAAAACATCATGTAGAAAAGTGTTTTTCGGGGGGGGGGGGGGTTGGACCAGGACTGGTTCTAATTGAGGATGAATATTTCCTAACAAAATTATTATTTTTTATTTTTTATTTTTTGGCTCTTAACTACTACCCCTGATCCCCCCCCCCCCAAAAGAGATGAAAGCTTAATTTCAGAAAATCTCCCCTCCCCTATGCAATGTAATGGTAGTGAAAAAACTCACAAGAACTGTCCCCCTTGTGAGAAGCCGATAGCATTGTATCCGTTCTTGAGCTTGGGGTCCTTAGCGATGATGTCACAAGCCATTTTGATCTGAGCGAAGCCGTCCATGAAAAAACCATTGGCCATATCCTTACAGAGAGAGAGAGAAAAAAAAAACTTACATCAAACCTGTATATAGAGGTAGATTTGTTGTGGTCAAGTGGATAAGTCACCCGACTGCAGGTCACAATTAAGGTACGGGTTCGAGTCCCGCCGCAGCACTAATGTCCTTTGGTAAGACGTTAATCTACATTTGCCACTCTCCACTCAGGTGTTAAATGGGTACCCAGTAGGATGCGAAAGTTAATGTGGTTGGATGAGCAAGTGTGCGCTTGTAAAATGGCGACTGGCTGGAATGCTCCCCAGGGAGTGGATAACGGGCATACATTCTTTGCGGATAAGCTTGAATCCGATGATCAGGATAATGATATATCTGTAAAGCGCATTCACACATCGTTGTATCGATGTATTGGACGCTATATAAAAGTGGAATACTATTATTATGTAAAGGCCACTTTAGGAAAAGGGTCAAGGTGGTTACTGTTAATGCTTTTTTGCAGACAGGTTCTTTACATGTGTCTAATTTCAGAGAAGCTAGTGGCTGTAGTATGAATTAGAATAAATAATCATAGTGGGTTCTTATATAGCCCTCATGTCTGTAATACTTGACCCTCATGGCGCTCCACAAGTATTAGCACGCCTTTAAAAGCCAAGTCCACTCCAAAAATAACTTACTTTCTATAGAAGCAGAAAAATCAGACAAACTAATTAAAAAAAGTTTGGGCAAAATCATATATATCTAATACGAAAGTTATGAATTTTTGTAAAAGTCTGTAAAAATAAGGAAAATTGGAAATTTACTTCAAGTTTTTAGGGAAAAAAAGAGAATTAATGGGATTAAACTATACAAAGCAAATGACAAATAGTGAGGACATGACGTCACTAACTGATAATCAAATTGGCAATTTGTGTAGTGATTTCCATTGTTCTGTAGTTTTACATACTTTTTCAAAAATCCATGGCTTTCTTATTGGTTATCCGATTTTGCTCAAACTTTTTTTGATAGGTTTGTCTGATTTTTCTGCTTCTATTTGAAATTAAGTTATTTTTAGAGTGGACTTGTACTTTAAGGAGCTTTAGCATTTCAAGGAATTACGGTAAGTTCTGCTAGGTACCCATTTACCTCATCTGGGTTGTGTGTTACAAATGTAGATTAATGTCTTGCCAAAGGATATTAGTGCTGCCGAGGGGCTAGACCACGACACCGCCATCAAGGTTTTAATCCAGGTTCTGAAGGAAGACTTGAATAGTGGAGGATTATGGAAATACCATAAATCTATAGAGGAAATCTAAGATTACAAATTTTGCTTCATATTTGGGTGTTTTATAAATTGAAACAAAGTTTTTACTGAGTATAAAAATCTACTTAGTTCACAAAAATGTATGGCTTTTCAGGTATCGCTATAGAAACAGTCAAAAAATCAAAACAAAGCAAGCTTTGCAGTCACAAAGTTTTAACATTCCTGAATTGATTGAGGATGTTATCATATACTTACAGCAACAATATCACTGCCTATTTCCAGGGAGTTGACATAGATGCCTGGAACCTGCTTCTCCACAAGATTCTTGATGCTTCCCATGCTTAGTGGGTTACAGCAGCTGTCACCTGAAAGGACAAAAAATGCAGTTTAATACAGGCCGAATAAGAAGAAGAACATCAAGAACAAGAAAAAGAATAAGGAGGACGACGAGGAGGAGGAAGAATAAGAAGAAAAGGAAAAGGAAGAAGAAGAAGAAGCAAGCAAGATACAGATGTAAAATGACTATGGTGCAAGACCCGGAAGCTGGGACATCCCCCCCTTGAAGTTAGACCTGGAAGCTTGGCAGCTGGAGACGGCTTTCTTCCAGAAGCTTTGGTATTCAAGGTATTCAAGGTATTCAAGAAGAAGAAGAAAAAGAAGAAGAAGAAGAAGAAGAAGAAGAAGAAGAAGAAGAAGAAGAAGAAGAAGAAGAAGAAGAAGAAGAAGAAGAAGAAGAAGAAGAAGAAGAAGTAGAAGAAGAAGAAGAAGAACAACAACAACAACAACAACAATTTCTGGTGCAGATATGTATAGTGATGTCTGTTTAAAAAGTATCTTTTTAAAATTAGAATTAGATCTTAATGTTAAAATAAAATGTAGACAGTCATTTTATATTAACGATTTGTCATGTTTTTCACTGCATGCATGCTGCATTAGATTTATATGTTAAAGAGTAAAGGAGGGGGTAATCGACCATCTCCAGTTTTCGGCCGATTGGTTGGATGCATGGTTGCATGGTAAAATCCCTTTAAAATACATTGCATAATAGCATATGACATATCCCACACATACCATACCATGCCAGAGTCACTGAAGAACCACATTTGCAATGGAAAATATATCCTAAAATATCACAATTTAGCGATGTAATCGGCGGTCCCGCTACTCGAATCTGAAAAATCAAGTATCTTACACGTGTCTGTAAGAAATATGGGTACCATAAAATGAGCTTTATTTCAAGTATTTTTCAGATTAAAAGCCCGATTTTGTGCGAGTCGCAAGCTCAAAAGTATCTCATCACATGTATTAAATCAATGCAGCCGGACACCGCAACGCACACACGATATCTCTGTCTAATTCAGATTTCAATTTCCGATCAACGCAGTGCTAGTTTTCGACATAGCGAGCACCGGGGAACTTCGGCGTGGGATACCTGCTCTGCCCGCTAGTGCTATAGATCAGCGCGTAACGCGCTTCCTATTGACTTTGTACATGCGGTCGAAATCTGGCTCGCTATGTTGATAACTGCCTCCGAAACAGTGAAAATTGAAATGAATATTGATGGCAATTCATTATTTTTTTCTGGGATTCTTTTTCTGTTTAGGTAATAATAATATTTGCTTCATGATTTAAACAAGAAATGATAATAAATAGGAAGTAAAGAGTCTCAAAAATAGGATTTTGTCTTAAAGCTTATCTGCCATAGTTTACAGGAGGGATTAGAGCGCCCTGCAAGGTCACTGGACAGGTGGTTATCTCATCAACTCAGCTCTCAGTTAACATAAGAAAAAGAGGATGATGGGGGACCAATGGTCACCGATTATGCATTGTTTGTTATATAGAGGGCGCAAGTAGCTACAAGTAGTGCAGTGGGCCTTTAAGTGGTCGAAAAACCCCTCCTTTACTAGATATTCACCAAATAGAAGGTAATTGCCAGGTCTATTTTCAATCTAATTCTAAAGTTACAGATAAGTCTAGTCTCTACTCTAGTCTATATCCAGATATCCAAGTTCTTAATCAAAACACTGCAAAAATGGAAAAAGCACACTCAGTGGATCGTTAGGAAAAAATATGACGATTGTTCAAAAACCCATCCAAAATTTGACCCGTAACTCGGGAGTGGGGATACCCTACTAAAACATACCCAAAATGAAGTAAATATTCATTAAATGTCCAAATAAAGATCATGAGTCAAAAGTTGTTATGTTTACCGGTATTACCTGTTTCGTGTCAATTTTCTTGTTATTTTTGGAGTATTTTTCGGATAAACGTTGATATTATCAGTATACACTTTTTCACAGGTTTCACGGCAAACCACTGCACAATACAAGTACATACCGATGGTGGGTTGCGGGCGGGCGCGCATCTGTGTAAAGTTATCTACCGTAATGTCTCAAATCCTCATTATGGTAGATAACTTCACACAGGCGCGCGCCCGCCCACAACCCATTATGCACTTGTATTGTGCAGCGGTTTGCTGTGAAACCTGTGAAAAAGTGTATAGGCCTACTAATATCAATGTTTTTCCCCAAAATACTCCAAAAATAACAAGAAAATTGACACGAAATAGGTAATACACATAACAACTTTAAACTCAGGATCTTTATTTGGAGATTTAATGAATATTTACTTCATTTTGGGTATGTTTTAGTAGGTATCTCCACGCCGGAGTTACGGGTCAACTTTTGGATAGGTTTCTAATAAGCGCTAAAAATATCCAGGGCACTAGCACTAGCAAATGATAAATTATGTTGTTTGTCGTAATTGTCTAATAATGATGAAATCTCAGCCCAAGCAGAGCTGCAGAGCTGAGTCTAGCCTTTGCAGTTTGCTTGCGCCCGCCCCGGCCTCTTCAGCCGGCGAGAAGCGACTGCGGCGCGGCGGTGCACAGTGGGCCAGGGAGGGACCAAAGTGCGCCAAAACTATTTTTGGGTGATTTATTTTTTTCAATTTTTTTCTTGCCCAGTTGAAAGGTAATACATAGAGGAATACCTCAGTGAAATATTTAATTCCGGTATGCACAATAAGGGTATACATTTACTACTTCAATCAGCAAAATCCTACATATTCACAGTTTTAGTGCAAAAGTGACCTATTTTATAAATCTTTCAATTCAACATGAAGTTTTTAAGTTATTGATATGAAATTGCTCTCACATATTCCTGATAGTTCATTTCGTTGAATGAATGGGTTAAAATTAATAGAAACACAATCTTCATGATATATTATAGGGTAATTCACTGAAAAATGGACTAATTATCCATGTTTTTTATAAATCCAGAAGAAATGTTTAGATCTCCGCGGTGTACCGCTTAAATTTTAATACCACCCTTTCCTCTGATGTCTAAGCTTCAAGTTGATACCAAATTTGGCTGCCCAAACTTGCCCATTGTTATGTTGGAGCCGATTTCCCTTGCCACATTGCCCTGAAAATGTGGGTTTTTGGGGTCCGCGGATGAATCATGAAGGATTCGTGGTCATAAATCACGGCGAGAGGGGGCGCGTGACACTTGTTCTGACACCGCAGACCAAAATAAACACATTTTTCGGGGCAATGTTGCAAGGAAAACAGCTCTAAAAAGTAACATAATAACGGGCAGAATTGGGCAGCCAAATCTGGTAGACCCCCTATCAACTTAAAAGGTTAGACATCAGAGAAAATGTTGGTAATACAATTTAAGCGAAAATCCCTGGAAATCTAAACATTTCCTCTGGATTTATAAAAAAGAAATCCCCAAACATGAGTTTTGGCGCACTTTGGTCCCTCCCTGGCCCACTGTGCGGTGGAGCTTTGTTAGAAAATCAAAACAACTTATAAATAAATACATGGGACCACAATAGTTTTATAAATTACGTAAACTTGGGTTGAAATACAATATTACATACCCATTCCATGCCAAATAACCAGAGGCATAGACGAATTCGACTGGCAGCTGACACTGGCAGTACAAAATACAGAAACAGCAGCTAAGAAAATGATTTTCCACTCCATTTTGTTGTATAATAGTAATAATAATACGTAAACAACTAATAACTAGTCAGCTGTGGAGATTATGTCACATGATCATGACCGATCAGTTCACGTGACGTGCGTACGTAGGTGCCGAGCGAGATATGGGGTAAGGCGCGCCGGAAGCAGTTTGGGATGAGGGAGGGGGGGTGGGGAGGGGGGGGGGGGCAAACATTCCAGGGGGCTCACCTTCCAGGGGCAGTGACGTAACGAGCAAAAACGTTTGGAAAGGGGGGGGGGGCGGGCAGAAGAAAATTTTTTATACATATAACTTTCTTCTTTCTCTGTTTTTCTCTGTTTTGATAACTTTGAAACATTTTTAAAAGTGAAACATTGATGGATTGTGTTCTTACAAGCCCAGCTTTTCTAAGGTCTCCACTTTCTTTCATTTGGATTATATATCGACTTAAAATTGCACTTAAATTGTTTTTTCTTATGCTGTTTCTTGTTCTATTATCATATGTAAAAATGTTGTGAAAGAAAGAAATGAAATGAACCTTGAACCTTGAATCAATTGGCGGAGATTCCAGGGAGCAGAGCCCCCCGGGTTTTTAGGTAATTAATAACTGTCAGATGAGCATACAGGGGACCGCCTTAGGGCCCATGGTGGGGTCCGGGGGCGGAGCCCCAGTAAGCTCTAGGGATATAGGCATTTAATTACGGTCAGATGAGCATCCAGGGCCCCGCCTTAGGGCCCTTGGTGGGGTTCAGGGGGCAGAGCCCCCGGAAGCTCAGGGGTTTTAGGTATTTAATTACGGTCAGAGGTGCATACAGGGGACCGCCTTAGCGGGCCCTTGGTGGGGTCCGGGGGCAGAGCCCCCGTAAGCTCTGGGGTTTTAGGCATTTAATTACGGTCAGGTGAGCATCCAAAGCCCCCCTCATGGTCCTTGGTGGGGTCCAGGGGGCAGAGACCCCGGAAGCTTTTTTTTTTTTTAGGTATTTAATAACTGTCAGATGAGTATACAGGGGATCGCCTAGGGCCTTTGGTGGGGTCCGGGGGCAGAGCCCCCGTTAGCTCTGGTGTTTTAGGCATTTAATTACGGTCAGATGAGCATACAGGGGACCGCCTAAAGGGCCCTTGATGGGGTCCGGGGGAAGAGCGCCCGTAAGCTCTGGAGTTTTAGGCATTTAATTACAGTCAGATGAGCATATTTTGATACCTCATTATTTTGTGACATTGGCAGGTCACTTATTTTCTCTCTCTCTCTTTCTTTCTTCTTCTCTCTAACAAACTTTTTCAAAAAGTGAGGGGGGCTCGAGCCCCCGAGCCCGGCCGTTTTGCAGACCTTGACATACAGGCTTATAAATAAGCATATTTTTCGCCCGACTGTAAATTTGGGACTTTCTAATTTTCAACAAACGCATAAAAAGTTATGACTTACAAAAAAAATTGAGAAAAAATACCAGAAAATCACGTCATTTCAACAACATTTTTTAAACCACTGGTATCGAATACAAATTAACACCCCCCCCCCCCACACCATCAGTACGCCAGCGTGCAGGGGTTCATGAGCTTTTCACCTCTATAACAAAAGTCAGACACGCTTTCCCATTCTCTCACAATATGTCCATGATTATGCGTGCGCTATTATAAAAATCTCAATTGATAATATAGGTAGCATGCGCAATGTTTATAAAATTGAATTCCTTTTTTTAAAAAATTATTGTTATGTTCATTTGGGTTAAAAATACAAACCATCTTACTCCTTTACTGCTTTTTTTTTTTTTTTTTTGAGGGGGGCGTTTATTTATTTATTTATTTTTTTTTTTTTTTGGGGGGGGGGAGGGGGCAAAAATGCGTTTTGCCCCCCCCCCCCCTGCCCCCCGCTTCCGGCGCCTATGACTGTGGTAGAGGTCAGTGGGAGGGATGAGCTAGAGAGGGGAGATGGAAGGGGGGGGGGGAGAGATATTCCGAAGTAATTTTACCATTGCAATTATGTTTGCATACATGGGGTTAAGAATATAGATTCATTCAATTAAATTCAACTTTTATAGATTATAATCGAAATAAAGAGGATTATTCTCGTTTTTTAAAAATACAATTAACGGATAACAAAATTTAGAATTATAGGGTAACAAAGATTGCAAATTCATGTCACTATTATAGCCATTAGCCAAGAATGGCAAAAATTAACGTACCATTTTATGTCTCTTTTGGAATATAGGCCTAGTAAAGAGATGAAAATAAACAAGATCACTCGTAATACATTTTACAACCCTTTTTTCCTCCTTCTAACTTTTCTCTCTTTCCCCCATCTTTTCTCCTTTTATTCCCCCTTTTTGTTTTCTACCCCCCTTTTTAGCATGAAATAGAAAGAGAAAAAGTGGGAGAAAAAAATAACAATATGAAAGTACACTATAATATAATTATGTAATAAACATTGGAATTCCCTTCCTAATGATATAAAGGAAATAGAAAACTTTCTTCATTTTAAGAGGAAATTATAGGAATATGAGAGTAATAGGAGAGATGCGAATGATTATATTGTATGACTGAAATAGCCTAAATTTTCTTTTCTCTGCCAGGTTCATACTTTTTCTTCTTCTTCTTCTTCTTGTTCTTTTTGTTCTTGTTCGTGTTATTGTTCTTCTCCTCCTTCTTCTCCTTCTCCTCCTCCTCCTTCTTCTTCTTCTTCTTCTTCTTCTTCTTCTTTTTCTTCTTCTTTTTCTTCTTCTTCTTCTTCCTCATTTTACTTTTCTTACTTCTTACTTATTATCATTTCTATCATTATTATTTTAATGTTGTTATTATTTTTGTCTTATCTGTCTGTAAATAATACGATTTTAACTTATTTATTTTTGTACATTTATGTCGGGGACGCGGCTCTCGAGCTTTAGTAGGTTATTTTTTTCAACCTGACTTAATTTTGATATGTCCTACTTTCACATGATTACAATTTTGGAATTAAATCAGAGTCTATAATAGGCCCTATAATGAAGGAAAGACAAACAGGAGAACAAAATGACAAATGAGAGCAGAGAGTTAAATGAATCCTGTTCACTTGGACTATAGATCCAACTTTAGCATGCAAATCATTTTTTAACATTTATAATGATACTATATAGTTTGTTGATATAATACTGAGCAGTATTAAAAATGCGATAATTTAAAAGAAAAGTAAATTTTGTTTCAATAATGTAGACGATTCTAGTTGTGTTTATTTAAAGAGAAATTTGGATTTCGTTTTTTCCTTCTCTCTCTCTCTCTCTCTCTCTCTCTCTCTCTCTCTCTCTGTATGCCTATTATCTCTCTCAGTCTTTCTCTATGTCTCTCATCTCTCTCAGTCTATCTCCCTTTCTCTGTCTCTCTGTCTCTCAATCTCTCTCTCCTGTTAACGAAACACATTATGAAACGTCAATTCGATCAATTTCATCAGCACTTTTGCCTTGAATCGTAGAATTGGATGAAGACAATAATTAATGCAAACCAATTGCTGTAGATAAACAATTAAATTAATGGATAGGACAATTAAAGAAAGATTGATGAAGGATCGCGCTGATTATGGGCTGGGCAGGAGTTTCGTGCTTTAAGCTGCTTTGAGTGTAATACATATTAGTTTCGCTCTATTGAAACTCATTCGTTTCCTGTCTCCGACGAGTAGGATTTCAGTAGAGAAAACAATGTATCTATCTAGTTTCACAATTATAATAGAGCCTATGTATAATGAGAATAATTAATGTCAATATATTTAAACCGCACATCGCAAGAATAGAAATACGTCACCACAAAGTAATATAATCTGGATTGATAGCGCTTAAATACCGTCTCTAAACGCTGTACAAAATTACCCCTGTCATCGGAGTATTTCGTCAAAAAGCAGACAGTTCGGCGTCAAAATGAATGGTGTTGGGCAAGGCTAACCAAGCTAATAGATTAATAGTTTTGTTTAATTATCATGACTTGCAGATGTCATAAAATTGAATTAGGTGCACCTGGTTGCGTGGACTTTTGGAGCACTGGACAGTCTGCAGGATATTTGGAAAGAGGTTGTTAATCAGTGCATGTGTTGAGGCGACCGCTCTTGCAATCTTTTTTGCTTATACGAATTTTAGTGTCTTTTTTGCACGTGTCTCCGTGCTTCGTTAAAAATGGCAAACTGCACAGTCTTATCAAATACCAGTGACCAATGGACTCTCATTGGTGATCCGTTCCCTCCTTACGACTATATCTTATGCCTCCTCATCGTAATTGGCATCGTAGGCAATTCTCTCGTCATCTTCATCAAGATTCGCCACGGAGGATCGCGCAGTGGCGGCGGTGTGACGGAGACCAACCGCCTCGTCATCGGTCTAGCCACGGCGGACCTTCTGACCGCAGTATTTCTGATACCGGTACCGGAGTACGTGAACGTACCACGTAACGCCGCGGGAGAGTTCTATTGTCGCGTTCTCGAGTCGAAGGTTTTGGCGTGGATCTGTTTCATTGCGTCGGTGTATACTCTCACCACGATATCTGTAGAACGTTTTCTCGCCGTGGTCTACCCGTACTACTACAGGGTATGGGTTAAGAAACATCATGTCAAGTACTCATTTCTTGCCATATGGATCTCTGCGTTTGTCATCAACATTTACAGCATCGCTTTTCATACCATTGACGAATGCGGCAGATGCGATTCAATATACCCATCGACCCGCTCTAGACGAGTCAACGGCGTTTTCATTTTCCTAATCGAGTTTTTAGGTCCCTTGTTCATCATGACTTACACAAGTATCAGGGCTATGTGTGTTCTTCGAAGAAGTGCTGTAAAGGACGCGGATGAAAGTTCTAGATCCATTAGAAGGCAGTCGACACAGCTTGAGATGCTACGGCGCCGTTATACCAAGATGTTCATCTTCATCTTCGCGTCTTTTATGATCCTCTGGACTCCTGATCAGCTGGCGTTCTTGCTCTACAACTTGGGCGTCCTGAGTGACCAATTCACCGGTACCAAAGCTTACAAGTTCGTCATCAACCTTGCCTTCTTGAATGCGGCCACGGCCAACCCCATCGTGTACTCGCTTTGCTTGCCTTCTTTTCGCCAGGCTGTTAAAGATCTTCTAATGTGTAGAGGCATGCAGAGATCAGCAGATCCGTTGACGGATCTATCATTCAGTACAGAAAGGCGACCTACCACTGCAACTGGTCCGACATCGAAATCCAAGGAATGATGTGTCAAACGCAGACATATTATTTTCACAGCACTTCCCAATATATTTGACGTCGTAGAGGCAGTGGCGGATCCAGCCGGCGGGAAGAGGGGGGGGGGGGGGGCCCAATCCGTGAGAAAATATTAGTTGCGACTCAACCACCGGTGAATAAGGGGGGTAGGAGCACTTTTTTGTCCAATTTTTCAGGAAATATTGTACGCCGACTCAGCCAGGCGGTGAATAAGCGGGGGGAAGGGGGTGGGTAAGACCACTTTTTTAGTTTTTTGGCCTTCTTCGTGAGAATGTTTTTATTTTAATAATTAAAAAAAAAAAAAAAAAAAAAAAAAAAAAAAAAAAAAACTGTTTTGCTGTTGTTGACCCGTAAGCCCCCCCTCCCGCGGATCTGCGCCTGCAGAGGATCCATCCGGCGACAAGGGGGGGGGGGGGGGGGGAGGGGGGTGGGAGCCAAATCTTAATACAAAATTTAACGTCGACTCAGCCGACCGGCGAATAAGCCGGGGGGGGGGGAGAGCACATTTCTTCTTTCCTTTTTTTGATCGAGTTTTTGAGGAAAACTTTAGCGCCGACTTAGCCGGTCGGTGAATAAATTTGGGAGGGGGGGGGGGCTTTTGTTTTTTGTTTTAAAAAAAGGTTAACTTTACGTTATTATCCTATTTTTTAATCGTTTTGGGGGGCTAGGGGGGGGGGGGCGGAAAAATCGCTACGTGGATCCACCCTTGCGTAGAGGCGTCGGAACCTACTGATCTTAACACTGGGCTGGTCTTGGGTTCGAGTCCCGGCACGACAATAATGTCCCTAAGTGGCATGGCAAGGGACAAAATAATGTACAAAATTAATCCACTCTCCTCTCAAATGTTAACATGGGTAAAGGCCTATCTATAAAGAAGCAATCCTTAACTGCTGTGATCGAGCGAAAACGGTGGTACAGGCGTAGACATAACAACACAAAGGTAAGATTGGAGTGCCTTGAGACATTGAATGTGAGCGCTATAGGAGCATGAATACCATAAACTTATAAATACAAAATGTGGAGCATATGAAATGTTGTAAAAGAAAAACACAGTTTCAAGCTATTTTAATTTTCTGTACTTATGATTTCCGCACAGAGGGACAGAACTTAAGATTTTGACACGACATACATAGTTTACTTGTCTATGATTAGCAATTTGTTTTATAATGTATACAGTTCGTCCCAGGAAAAACGAAACCGAGAATTATTGATGTATTATCATAAACTTAATCACAATTATGGTTAATAAATGACACATATGTTTTGTAAAGCTTAGATCCTCCTCTTTTATTTGATGCAACTCATATGGTGCATATTTCACGCAACAAAGTAACATAGTTGACAAAAGACTTAACTCCGTTTCGTTGACGATCAGCCATGCACGAAGGCTTTCGTCTTCTTACGGTTTGTTGTTAGGGCAGACAGCCAGTGGAACGGATTCGTTTAATAAAATTATAGAAATCAAAGCATTACTTTAAACAAACAGAACTTTGTTATTCCTGGCTCATTTTTCCTGATTGGGGTGTCATTATAAAAGGGCAGAAAATGAACTGTCTAGAAATGTGATTTTCTCTTTGAAATTCAGATACCGTTCGCCAAAAGACTTTTAATTACTGTTTCTTCAAATTGATTTGAATCACTCGTGCGTGAAATATGCATCACGTTGCATCAAAATAATGGAAGAGGAGGATCTAAGCTTTGCAAATAAATGTAATTTATTAATTATAATTGTGATAAAACATCGATAATTCTCGGTTTCGTTTTTTCTGGGACGCACTGTATAGGGAAACTTTGAACAGTTTGAAGAAATATCCTTAATAATTTTCCCAAGAAGAAAAAACTAGAAAAAAGGGCCGACAAGAACAGCGGTACGGAAAACTGCGTACATCTGTCATTATGAATAGAAATATAAATTCTAAGGAATTTCAAAAAAGTCACCACAAACATAAATCAATAAAAATTAACGACATCATGCAATACGGACAATATATCATGTTTCATTCACCATATCGAAATAAGCATACAATGTATATGTCAAAGTACTCAAATGCTTTGTAAATACGCTTTAATTTGTAAAACTTAGTTTGTAAATTAGTTGTCTTTTATTTTGTCATGTTATGCCATTCGGTATAGAAAGGGTGATTAAAACCCTCCGATTATTTGAGATGCAGCGTGTTATTAGTCATTGACAGTGATTAACGTTTTTTGCCCAGTTTAAATAGCTAATGCATAAGAAATTCAATGTTTTTATGATTAATATACAATACTTGTTAAATGATTTGCATCAAACTAGTTACTGGCGTAATATGACATCAAAATGCAATACGGAAATTGAAATAATAGAAATCTGTCGAATGTCTCAATCTATCTTTGCCGAGATTAATAGTTAATGTAGGAAATTTAATGTTTTTTTAATCAAAGTATTGTTATAGTATATGGACATTTGCTATTTTCTATTCGGTATCTGAAGAATTGTTAAATAGTGTTATCGTAGTTTAAGCTTAAACAAAAGTGGCAATATATTTAGGATTTTCAGCACTTGCTTTTTATTTGTTTTCCCTCGTCCTATACAGTGTGTATCAAAAAACATACCAACTAATATGAACTTGAAATTGATTTCATGATAAAAGAGTAACCTGTCTTCTGCCTATTGATTACCTATGCTCATAATTTGTCTGCAATCGATGACTGAGCACCAGGGTTTCTAAAAATTGCCGTCAAAATATATTTGTACATGTACATCCCAAGTTTGGGCTGATGCACCAAATGGGGGCCAGACCATATGCATAATTTGCATGCATTACTTTGGTCTTGAACCTTTTAAAGCCCACTGTCCTGCTTGTAGCTACTTGCTCCCTCTATATAGAAAACTTCCCCAATCGGTGCCTGTTGGTCCCCCACGATCCTCTTTTTCCTATGTTAGGTGAGAGCTGAGTTAATGAGATAACCACCTGTCAGTGACCTCGCTGTGTGGTCTAAGCCCTTCTGGCCCAGTAGTATTGACGGTCTTTAAGAAGTAACATTCTGCTTTCATTACTATTAGTGATGTAATGTATCTAAGCTTTTACATGACCTTAATATTGTTTTAATCAACAGGATAACAGTGAATTATTCTAAACAGCCTTTTAAAGTCTTGTCTTCAATCAGCAGATGTATGAGATTTATTGTATTATTACCAACGCTCCTTCTCTCCCCTTTCCTTTTCTTTTCTGCAAGTCACACTCTTTTTTATTTATATTTTTGTTGTTACTGTTGTATCTAAATTGAGGGCTGCGGGCACGTCAAGCTACTCTGCTTATTTCTGTAGCCCTCCTGCATCTAATTTATGTTAATTATGCATTCAATATATTTGTTTAATTTCGTTTATTATCTGTATAAAAATTATATACACTTAAAATATTGTATCAAACCATATGTTCATGAAAATTATATCATGAAAAACAAGAAAAAAGATGCAGAAACCAATAAATAAAATAAAATAAAATAAAATAAAATAAAATATCTTAAATCTCACTTCTCACTTGTGGATTGCACCATTTGACTTAATTAAGGTGTGTAAGGTGCATAAGGCATTTTGTTTCAAACAGCACATGAAAACCTGGAAGTTTACTAGCCTAAAATAATAAGTATATGCAAGAAAAAAGTCGTGGAGCTGGCTACCAAAGATATTGACAGTATACTACTTTCGTTAAATAACAGATATGTAGATAGCATCCATGAAAGTAAACCTTGTTCATTTTGAATGACTCAATAACAAGACTTATATACCTTAATTTAAACAACGGATGCGAGAGAAGCGGCATTTGTCATCATAACAGAGAGAATATCCGAAATTTTGCTTGTTAATGAGCCTTTTCTCGAGTCTGAGTTAACATTATCGGCACCTTTCTATTCTAATATACGAAATATATTCGAATATGTCAGCAATAACAATATTGAAAAAAATTATATTGTATAATATTTTTTTTAGGGCTTTTGATCCACATTCATTGTTTCAGTCAAAACTTGGTACAAGAGGTTTTTGACAACACTTTTTGAAAAAGGCTGCTGCTCAGTCATCCGTGCATGGCAGCAGAGTTATGAATGAGGTATCGTTAGACGGAATATTATTACATGTTACACAGGTTACTACCTTTAAAAAAGAATCTGCAAAAGTTGGGTATAACGCACTGTTTATAATTATAAAGACAAGGAAGACAAATAATGTTTGCAAATATATTGTTCTTGTGTTGGATGAGGGTAAATAATGTGGAGAGAGGAGAGACTGAGAGAGAGAGGGAGAGAGAGGAGAGAGAGAGAGAGAGAGGGAGAGAGAGAGAGAGAGGGAGAGAGAGAGGGAGGGAGAGAGAGAGAAAGAGAGGGAGAGAGAGAGAGAGGAAGAGAGAGGGAGAGAGAGAGAGAGAGAGAGGGAGAGAGAGAGAGAGAGAGAAAGAGAGAGAGAGAGAGAGAGAGAGAGAGAGAGGAAGAGAGAATGATATACATAAATGGCTTGAGAAGAGAGAAACGAAAGACCGGGGAATGGAGCTCCTATACAGTGTGAGTCCAAAAAAAAAGTTTACCTAGAAAATTGCTAATTATTTTCAAAATCATCTATAAACAGTAAATTATTATTCATCTTATGAACGAGTGTTTTATCCCAAATCATTTGGTATCAATTTTGTGGGGTATGTTTTCACGCTTGGATGAACAGGAGGCGTTGTTTGCGTGAGTGCAAAATTCGACTTGCGCCAAAGTTGCTTATGTGATGTTTGAATAAAACAATTGGGATTTGGGTATTAATTCGGTCTTTGCAGATCCAAATAACATCCCTTACACAATTAATTATGCCACACATATCAAATATCGAAAATAAAATATCAACGAACATTTTATGCGCGCGTGTGTGTGTGTGACTTTGCTTCTGCAAAGAGCATATGCATTTCATTTGATACATTCAATTCATTCTCTCACTCCACTAATCCGAACATAATACATACTGTAGGCATCACTTTGGTGCAAGTCAATTTTTGCACTCTTTCATATGATGTATAATAATTTACTGTTCATAGATGATTTTTAAAATAAT